CTAGTGAAGCCCACTAATAAAGCCCACTAATAAAAGCAACTATTAAAGCCCACTAATAAAATCAACTAGTAAAGGCCCGCTAATAAAGCCCACCAGTAAAAGCCGACTAATTAAGCCCACTACTAAAAGCCCACTAATAAAACCAACTAATAAAGCCCACTAATAAAGCCCACTAATAAAGCCCACTAATAAAAGCCCACTAGTAAAGCCCACTAATAAGGCCCACCAGTAAAGTCCACTATTAAAGCCAACTAGTAAATCCAACTGATAAAGCCCACTAATAAAGCCCACTAATAAAACCAACTAATAAAGCCCACTAATAAAGCCCACTGATAAGGCCCACCAGTAAAGCCCACTATTAAAGCCAACTAGTAAATCCAACTGATAAAGCCCACTAATAAAGCCCACTAATAAAACCAACTAATAAAGCCCACTAATAAAACCAACTAATAAAGCCCACTAATAAAGCCCACTGATAAAGCCCACCAAAAAGGGCCCCCTACTAAAAGCCCAGGGACCGGCCCCAGTATCGGGCCAGGTCCGCCGCGCGCCTCCAGGCCCTTACCCCAGGCCCAGCGATCTTCCCCACACAAACGAACCCACATCAAACCGCCGGCAAAACACACCCCAAAAGCACCGCGGGCCTGTTTTAATGTCCCGCATCCTCGACACGCTCACCGCGGAAATCGCTGCGCTCGACCGCGCCGGCGCCCACAGCCTCGATGCGCTCGTCCGCGAATCGAGCCTGATCTTGCTGGATCTCAAGGAATTGGAGGCCGACTTGGAGGACCACGTGGCCCGCGAGTCACAGGCCGCCCGGGCCGGCGCCAACACCACCGCCAGGACCCTCGTGGACGATCACGATATGGGCGGGTTTGCAGGCAGGCTCGAGCGCCGGGCGGGCGCCTGGCACAGCGCTTCTCTCGGCGCCTTGAAGCAATACAACGGCCAGTTGCTGCGGTTTGTGCGCAGCGCCGGCAGCGGCGCCGGCGGCGCCGTGGACTTGGACGACGCGTACGCGTTCCCGCTAGCCCTCGGCTCGTTTCCCGCGCAAAAAGCCGGCCAAAACGGGCAAGCAGCGGACGGCGGCAATCTGCCGGCCTTTTCCGGCGGCAACGGCGGCAGCGTCGCCCCAGCGGCGGCCAGCCACACGCAGCTCATGCGCAGCATAGTGCTGCACTTTGTCAAAACGGGCCACGCGGCGCTCGTGGCGGAACTCCTCGACGACTTCAGGGCCGGCAGCGCGTTGGCGCCCGGGCTGCTAGCCCGGTTCTTGCAGCTCGGCGACATTGTCCGCGAGATCCGGGAGAACCACGACATCACGCGGGCGCTTGCGTGGTTCCAGGAGCAGGGCGCCCGCGGCCATGGCGGCCACGAGCCCGCGCTGTTCAAGTTCCACATGCTCCAGTTCGTGCTTCTCTTGGCGGGCCATTCGCAGGGCGGCCAGGCGCCGAGCGCGGGCGGCGCGGGCGCCGGCCTCGAGCGGGCGTTTGCCGCGTACGCGTACGCCAAGTCCCACTTCCCGGCGCATTTCAAGCGCCACGTGGACGACATTGCGCCCGTGCTCAGCCTCCTCCTCTTCCCGGCCGCCGGCGACGAGGACAGCACGCGCCACATGGCCGTCTTGAGGCAGAACGTGCACCGCGCGTTTGTCCAGGGCTGCGAGGCCCAGAGCCGCCGCTCCCGCGACACGCGGTTCGTGGCGGAGATGCTCGAGCACTTCGACACGCTCCACGCCAACGGCGCCTTCTTCGACCGGCTAGCGCATGACTTCGTGCAGGAGTTCTGCAAGGGCCTGGCGCTCTCCACCGAGTCGTCGTTGTTCCAGGCCGTTTTGGCAGGGCACGTGAACCTCCCGAACTTCTACAAGTACAGCCAGCTCCAGCAGAGGTTGCGGCGCCCCGCGCCGCCGGGCCCGCGCGACCTCCCGTTCTCGCTCTCGTCGAAAAACCAGTTCTTGTTCGACTTCCACCCGATCTTCATCTGCCCGGTGTCGAAGGAGCAGCTCATGCCCCTTGTGTCGGTGGCCACGGTGGCCGACGTGGACGTGCGCGACCGCAAGCGCAAGCAGATTTTCGTGTCGCCCCACGAGGTCTTGGTCAGCCCCACCAACCCGGTGGTGGTCTTTGGCCACTGCCACCACTTGGCGCTCAAGGAGAGCGTGCGCCAGTTGACCAAGGGGGGCGCCGAGACGTTCAAGTGCCACTACTGCTACAAGAAACACAAGCTCAACGAGGTGAGCGACGCCTACTTCATTGACTTGTAGGGGGGGCGGGAAGCCGCGGTGGCGTTGTCATGCTTTGGAGCAAGACTACTCTTTCCTTGGGGGGAAGGCAAGGCGCCAGAAACACGGGGGCACAAGCTTACATGCCGCGTCTGGCCGCTCCACCGGGCTCTGGTTCTTTTGAGGCTTTTCGAAATTGTCTCCACGATTCTCCCGTATCACTGAAGCTGTGAGACATGCCTGCTTCAACCTGCGAGAGATGCCCGCGCATAATCAGATGCTGGAATCGACAAGAAATCCAGATCTCTCTATCTCCCTTCTCGAGACCCACATCGTCACTATCACGAGAATGATCCAGGTGACATGCGCGATGAGCTAGGCATCAGCCAGATCGACTGCTGGGGTAGCGCCAGCCAGAAAGCCAGAAAAAGGAAGCGGTGGAACTTGCAACTAAAATCAGTAAGAAACGTCCCACAGCACATGGATTCTCCGTGCTTACTTGTTTGTTGTTGTTTTTTTGTTGTTTATCTATTTTTCATTTTGGGATCCTTCTCTTCGGCTTCGAGCCTGCCTCGAGGCATGCTCGCTTGAGCAGAGTTGCGCATATCGCGACTTTTTTTTTCCGAGCCGAGGCGTCCTCTGCAATAAGTGTCATGAAGCCAGGAAAAGACCCCGAGATGGATCTGCTCAGGGGCCAGGCGTCCTGCTTGGGGGCGCCCTGGACCCCAATTTACCAACAAGCCGTGGACTTCGAGGCCTCGCATTTCGAAACGGCCATGTCCCATTTGGTGAGAGAACCCAATATCAACTCCACAGTGATCATGCGGGCCGACATTCTCCAAAAAACCACATATACGGAAGATGGCCAAGTGCACGAGTCGGAAGTTTTCACGCCTGAGCTCCCGAGCTTCGCAAAAGTGGAAACCCCAACGTCAGAAAATGCTTCGGAGCAACCACAACATTTTTTGCATCGAGATCTCTCGGACATCAAGCTTCGAGAGGTCCCGCTTCTGAGCTCTCTGGTTGAATTGCTTCCCTCCAGTGCTTTCATCCGCCGCGTCATACCCAGGAACCCATACAAGGATCATGTGATCAACCAGACATGCGCCATCTTGAAAGGCCCGGACTCCGTATTGGTTGTCTACATCCCTCACATCAGCAACCAAGACGAAACCCCCTTCTATCTCCCTCCTGTCCAAGCTGTGGGCATTCTATATCACAAGCATAAACTCTCAATCCACTACATTGCTTTTGGCGCGTCCCTGGACATTGAGAAAATGGACGGTGCTGAACGTCCCATCCGCATAGCTCTCCGCCTTCTCCAAACGCTGGCGAAACACTCGATGGGAGCCAAGCTGGGATACGAGAAGCGGGTGACGCACGACGTGGTGGTGCCTCGGATTGCATTCCAAAACAGATACATTGCATTGAAAAAGAAGTATTCCGGTGACTTGGTCGCAAACTGGGTTGAGTCAACGGACCCCAAGAAGCATGTTTTTGAGGACTTGGCTGTGGCTGCCTTCTTGATTGAATTGTGGAATGCTCGTTACAAGGACAAGCAGTTTGAGTTCCGGGACTTGGGCTGCGGCAATGGTCTTCTCGTGCATATATTGATCATGGAAGGCTTCAAGGGTAAGGGAATCGATGCGCGGGCCAGGAAAAGCTGGAAGACTTATCCCAGCAAAGTGCAAAAATGTCTTTTGGAGCAGATTATCATCCCCAGTGTGTTGCTCAAGCCGCACCCCGCCATGGCCCGAATGGCTCCCTACATGACCAACAATGGAAGACTCTTTCAAGTACCAGAGACGCATCTGAGCGATCCCAATACCGTTCCCTTGATGAAATACTACTCTGCAGAAAACCTCTTGGCTCTGTCGATGGTCTGCACAACCGAGGAGTTCCCACCAGAGACATTCATCATCGGGAATCATCTGGACGAGCTCACGTGCTGGATCCCGCTTCTCAACTACCCATTCATGGTCATTCCGTGCTGTTCTCACTCGCTCAACGGGGCCAAAGTGCGATACACCCCGAGAAAACGGGTGAAGGCCGAGACCAACAACGGGAATAAAGCCCTTGAGAAAAAGCCCGCGGGGAAAGCCGGGGCGCAAAAGCCCGCGCAAAACTTATCGATGTATGGGGCGTTGGTGGACCACGTCGAAGACTTGGCCAACCTCATGGGCTGGGATTCAGAAAAGGAGATCTTGCGGATCCCGAGCACCAGGAATGCGGCGGTGATTGGCATGGAGAAGAAGCCGTACTTGAAAGAAGAACACATCGACGCCACGGAAATGAGGGTGTTGGATATTGTTGCTGCCGAGGGTGGTGCCGAGGGCTGGGTGGAGAACCTGATGCTTTTGATGAGCAAGAGCCCGAAGAACCACTGAGCTGGGGACTCTACGGAGGTTTTAGAAAGCAACGTTTAAGTAGGCGTAAATTAATGGGCTTGCTCGTTTAGTGACTAGTGCTCAAAATGAGCCATAATCAGGGACTTTGTGGGAGATTTGAAGTTGTCGGAGACGGTTTGCATTCGTCAGAAGCTGCTAGATGAGAAAACTCTTTCATTCCGCCGTATCTTGGTAAGATCGGGTGTCGGGAGCTTCAGGAATGGAACCAAAAGCATGAAAAGTACGTGAGTGGCTCGATTTGCTACAAAGAACGCTTGATTGAACTAAATATTTGCGAAGAAAAGTGCTTTACTGTTTAGAATTGTACTTCACTGTTTTGATTTCCGCCGATTTGTTTTCCACTGATTTGTGTTGCACCTTATATTAAGAAGCTTTTTCACTTTTAAAAGGAAAGCAATACAATACGGTAATTAAACGAGCGATTCATGTCAGGCAAAAACAATGCAATTGTTGCTCAAAAATCAGACAGCCCCAAAGTGCCACTGAAGTTCGGCCCAATATTTACAGAGCATCCTGAGTATCTATTATCCATCACCGAAACGGCCGCAGGGGTCAAGGTCCAGTTTAATTTGTCTTATTGGAATATGCCATGTCTCGCGCAGCGAGCAGCTGCCAACAGTTCTAATAATAGCAGGAAAAGATGACACCCAACAGACTGGCACCCCAATGAAAAAAAAACAAAAAAAAAACAGGGAACCCGGCATAAAAGTGCCTTGAAAGATCCACCTTATTAGATACTGCCTTATGGTGCTTGCTTTGCTCCCCTGCAACAGGGCCCCATGGCTATCATAGATACGCGTTGGCTAGCACGGCGCAATAATCCGCCCCACTAATTTCCAGGCCCGATTTCCAGGAAGACCCCCGAAAACAACGCAAGCACGCCAAAAACCCCGGAAGACAAAAACAAAAAAGTCTTTACTCAGCCAAACCCCGCAACTTCTGCCACCATGGTCTTCGAAAAACCCCCCTTCCCCAATTGTCGTGTATTTTTTTTGGCCCCGCAAAATGCGCTCATGACCAGGCCCCAAACAGTGCGCGAACCAGCGTGCTCGGTCAACAGAGCACCACCAATAATCTCAGGACCCACGCCAAAACACACCAGGTGCCCGAAAATGACCGGCTCCTCTTCCCAGTATGTCTTAGCCCGTGGCCTGAAGGCGCAATGGCCGGAAGCGGCGCCAGCACGCCCGGGCCTGTGCCGCTTTTCGCACCCGTTATCTATCACATATACTAACCAGCGCCAGATTCCAGCAGCTCGAAAAACTCGGCGAGGGCACGTATGCCACCGTGTACAAAGGGCGCAATCGTGCCACAGGCGCCCTCGTGGCATTGAAGGAAATCAGCTTGGATCTGGAGGAAGGCACGCCCTCCACGGCCATCCGGGAAATCTCGCTCATGAAGGAGCTCAACCATGAGAACATCGTCACGCTCTACGACGTGATCCACACGGAAAACAAGCTCACGTTGGTGTTCGAGTACATGGACAAGGACTTGAAGAAATACATGGAGACCCACGGGTCCAACGGCGCGCTCGACTTGAAAATCGTCAAGCTGTTCATGTTCCAGTTGCTCAAAGGCATCATGTTCTGCCACGACAACTTCGTGCTCCACCGCGACCTCAAGCCGCAGAACCTCTTGATCAACACAAAGGGCGAGTTGAAGATCGGCGACTTCGGCTTGGCCCGTGCGTTCGGCATTCCGTTCAACACGTTTTCCAACGAGGTCGTGACACTCTGGTACAGGGCGCCCGATGTGCTTTTGGGCTCGCGCGCCTACACCACGTCGATCGACATCTGGTCCGCCGGCTGCATTTTTGCGGAAATGTGCACCGGCAGGCCGCTCTTTCCGGGCACTGCGGCGGACGACCAGTTGAACAAGATCTTCCGCTTGTTGGGCACGCCGCACGAGAAGACGTGGCCGGGCATCGAGAAGTACGCCAACTACTCGAAGAGCTGGCAGATCTACGTGCCGCAGGACTTGCGGCTGATCGTGCCGGGGCTCGACACCATGGGCTTGAACCTCTTGGCCAACTTGTTGCAGATGCGGCCCGAGGACAGGATCACTGCGCGGCAGGCGTTACAGCATCCGTGGTTCCACGAGATTGTGAATCCTGGTGCGGCGGGCGCCGGCTTGGGCGACCCATACTTGCACCTGCAGAGCCAGCACCACCCGTAGAGCGAGGGTGGCGCCACGTTCAGTTCCGGAGACCAGTTTAGTTTTGTATAGTATCTTTGATGAATTGCGGTACTTGCTTAGGGCTGTAGGGGAGGGCACTAGGGGGTGGGCGTCCTGGGTGGGTCTGTTTGGATGGATATGATTGGGGACTGTGTTGGCCTGTCGGAGTGTGTGGGTATGTATGGGTCTTGGATAGATAAGGTTGAGTATTGGAATGGTATGCTTGGGTGTGGATAGATATGCTTGGGTGTGGATAGATATGCTTGGGTGTGGATAGATATGTTTCGTTGTCGGATAGGTATGTTTGGGCATTGGATATATATGCTTGGTATTGGAATGATATGTTTGGGCATTGGATATATATTCTTGAGTATTGGATAGATATGCTTGGGTATGTAGGTATGATTGGGCATGGGATAGATATTCTTGAGTATTGGATTGATATTCTTGAGTATTGGAATGGTATGCTTGGGTGTTGGAATGATATGCTTGGGTGTGGATAGATATGTTTGGGTATTGGAATGATATGTTTGGGCATTGGATATATATGCTTGGTATTGGAATGATCTATTTGGGCATTGGATATATATGCTTGGGCATTGGATAAACATTCTTGACTATTGGAATGATGTGTTTGGGTGGATATATCTGTGTATTGAAAAGATATGTTCATTTATGAGATAGATATGTTTGGGTCTATTTGAGTACTAGGTAGGCTTGAAAGAGCGGAGGCATTGAACAGACTGTGGCAGCACAGTACATATATGATAGACGCCTCTGAGCTCCAACGATAAACAGGCAAAAGTGCCGGAACCAACATGGCTCGGACGCATAGGCCATGGAGAATCTGGACGCATTGCAGAACAGTGGAGTGCTGCGAAGAAACAAGCCACTGTCTGACAAAAGCACCTGAAGCCTTCTGCTTTCCAACAGCTGCCTGCCCTATTAACTCGCATCTCATGTAAGCGTCGTAGAATGGATAGTGGCAACGTAGGTATAATATCATGTAGGCTGGTCCCAGCTGGATGAACGCACAATGATATGTATCCACTAAAGACCGCCGATGTGCTCCCGCTTATTAGTATTGCTCAAATAAGCAGACAATGAGATCGGGACCCCGCCAGTAACCTGGAGCCAGATGGAGCGTGTATGGGGAGTCATCCCCCAAACCAAGAAATAATCAAATAGGGGCGTGGAGAGAATGCACCCAGGTCCCGATGGACGCAAGAATATGAGATCCCCAGAGATGCTCACCATGGAGGTCCTCATGCTAAGCCCATGGGAGACGGAAAACCAGAAACCCCGCTCCATGCCGATCAATGGACCCAACCGAGCTAGAATATATGGAGAGGCACCGACACGCCCAAGCCCACCACGTGATCCAAGAGCTCGGGAATCTGTGCCTGTTTGAGGCGGTCCCACACACCACTGCTGTTTTCGTCCGCACTGGCTGAAAAGTATATCGTGAGCATGCCAATGACAAAGTCGTGGTACCGGCCAAACGCATGCAAAAAGCCCGGGACCGCGTGCCCGGCATCGGCCCGGTCTTTCAACCAGCAATACACGGCTAGCGCATCGGCAATCTCGCGGTCCGTGGCGGATTTCTCAAAGGCCAACAGAAAAAGAACATCGAGCAAGTCGCCCGGAAACCCCACGTCGGCGTTGGTTCTGTAGAACGACGCCACAAGCGGCGCAGGCAGGCCGACACGCATGCCGTAAGTGTTGCCGAGCTCGCGGATCGTCTCGATACTTGCCGGGCCCACGGCCCTGTACAAATGGCCCGGCACGGCACCACTTTCCACAAGCGGCTCGAACCCGCCTAAGCCGTGCGCCGTCATATACTGGGCACACTGCTCCAGGGCCTCGGCCTCCGTGAGGAGCACCTGAGCAGGCGTGTCGGGGTCCTCGATGGCCAGAGCCACAAATGCCTTGAACACCATGTACCGCCACTCCAAGTATCTCCGTTTCAACTTGCGCTGGCGGTCCGCCGCACGACGCGCCACGGCTATGCCGCCGAAACGCAGGTGCAAGAACCGGACATGGTGCCCGCCCATGCCGGGGAAAGAAAACACAGTGCTGTCGATGGCCCGGGTGGTGGCCGCAGCCCTGACCGGGACGTGGAACGCCGCTTCCAAGGCCGGCGAGCCCCGGACATTCTCGGGAAGGTCGGCGTACCGCTTGGCGAAGCGCAGGACCCAGTCACGTGTGCGGGTGCCCTTGGCCAAATCAAGGAGCAAGCAGCTCCGCACGAGCTTTTCTAGCAAGTAGTCGTTGCGCGTGAAGTCGAGAAGCCCGTGCAAATACGAGCACGTGTGGGCGAGGCGGTTGGCGCTGCCGAGCCCTGCGAAACAAAACACCCGGTACAAGATTTCCGGCGGCAAATCCACCAAAGTCGGCGGTGGCGATGGATGTGCTGGAGCCGATGAGATGGTGAGTACAGCCCGCCGTGGAAGCGTGTGCCGCGGCTCGTTTTCCGCGGGGACAAAGGCCCCTTGGAGACCCCCGGCCCCACGTGACACAGCCGTGCCCCCAGAATGGGTGGCCTTGGCCCGTTTGCCGTGTTCCGCGCCGTCCGATGAGCCTGCTGGGACCGGCCTCTTTCCATCAGTTGCGACGGGCGGCTTTTGGGAGAAAGTCGCCGGTGGCGGCGGCAGGGGCTGCGGGGCCCGGGAAAACGCTGCGGCGTTCCTGGGATTCGTCACGGTCAGCGCGTACGTGCGCCGGTTGAACCCACTGCCATTGAACACGAAACCCATGGCCTCATCAGGTATGGGTAGGGTTATTACCAGGCCAAGTTGCAACTTTTTTCTCTGGGTGCAAGCCGCGCGCACACGCGTCACGTGCCGAGGCCGCGATGGCTGATTTGATGAGCGCACCAGGGCTTTCCGATCACTACGTTTGTCGGCCTGCCATACGAGAACTTCTTTGATAGGGCAGCATGGAACATGCTCTTTTTTGAGCCCTTCCAAGCCACTTCTCAGTAGAAATCGCAGCACAAAAGTGTAAACATAATATGTGAAAAGTAGTTGCCTTGTCGTTGATGAAGAACTTGCTTCGAGTGGTAATTTTATTCCACATTTGTCGCCCGGTACTCCGCCCGTAAGAAGCTTACTGATGAGAAAATGGGTTTTTTGTTCAAGGCCGTGACCAACGGAAGGGGCGGGCCGAGTTCCGACACTCGGTACGTATCGGGGAGCAAAGGTTTAGATACATGCATTCTCTGTATAGCTTGGCTCCTTCTATCAGACGAATCTATCAAAAAAGCTCCATTGCTCTATTGCTTCAGTCAGATTGATCTGCCAAATTAACGTCGCATTGCTGCATACGCTTGCATCCAGTCCCTCTGGAAATACAGCACTTGGTTTCCCTGGAAGTTGAGCGAATGAAGAATACGTTTTTTGGCAGAAGAATATTACATGGTGCGAAACATTGCCAGTGTTGCTTAACATAAAGTCTCGGGATGCATAACCCACTTCTGTTTATCAGCAACAGGGCAATATTGAACACATTCAATGATTTTTGGGGACTTCATGGGACATAGGGGTTTTGTATTGCTATTTAATCACTACTTTCTCCAGAACCCACTGGAGTTCTATCCCACCGTTATATACTTCAGCAAGAGATCACGTGATATGAACCCCTAAAAGTCGAGAGAATATCTATGAGTTGTTCAAAGTGATACCTGACGGAACTCACAATAATAGAAGTGCATATAGTCATATATGCGCTTACAGGGACCATCAGTGTCAAGCTGATACCAGGGACCTTACAATGATATTGGCCATAAAAAGAATTGCTAACCATGTTCTCAAAAAAATCAATGTCTTCTTTCTTGCTTTTTTTCTGCAACCAATTATCTTGTCTCCCCTGGATAATTAATGGCTTTTGCAAGCAGATGGTTGATGAACATTCTTATTGATAACACCGGGGAATGAGACGCCCCAAAGTATACTTTGCCCAAAGGTGCCAAGTAACAACTTTTTTTGGAGCTGCTGGAAAAGCTACCATTAAGCATTTTATAAGAAGCTCGTGAGAGCTTTTATATCACTGATATATTGTCCCTGAATTTTCAATCCTCCAAGCTTGCCTCAGCTTTTCAACTGCTTTTTCCTAGAACAACTCCTCACAAATCTAAAATGAATATTTATTTTTTCTTACATACCCACAACAGTTTTATAATCATGAACGGCGCTCTACTCAAAACTTTCCAGCGGAGTTGTCCTTGAATTGCTCTTCGGTGACACCGGCACCCATGGCTGCGGTGGAAGTAACACCTCCAGAGACCAACTTCAACAAGGAGTCGATGTACTCGGCACCCGACCATTTCTGGTGCTTGACAACCTCGACACCGAGCTCCATCTCTGGCTTCTGGACTTGCTGGCCGTAGGCCTTCATACCAATCTCGGCGTAGTTTTTGGCGAAAGAGTCCACGGCCAAGGCGGTGGTATGCAAACCGGCCAAGGTAATGAATTGCCACACGTAGCCGAGTTTGGCAAGTCTGGAAATGTATGTCTCCTGGTCTTGCGAGTTCATGGCAGTGTTCCAGTTGAAAGATGGTGACAAGTTGTATGCCAACCACTGGTCGGGCCACTTGCTCTTGACACCCTCGGCGAATTCCTTAGCCTGTTCGTAGTCTGGCAATGCGGACTCCATCCAGATCATGTCCGCGTATGGGGCGTACGCACGGCCACGCATGACGGCACACTGGGTTCCACCGATGTAGCGGTAGTAACCCTCTCTGGTTCTGCTGGCATCCCAGTTGAAGTAAATGTCCTTGCCCAAGATGTCACGGGCAATCTTGCGGGCCTCCTTGTGCGAGGTCTCGGACAATGGGTTGACCTTGGCGGTGAAGTCAGAGATAGCTCTCTCCTTGTTGGAAATAGAGGAGGCGCGGATCTCGTCGATCACAGCCTCGGAAAACAACTTGACGCGAGCGGAATTGTTCCACTCGGTCTCAATGGCGGCCAACTTCTCACCGTAGACACCACGGGCCTCGGCTTCGGCCATCAAGGAGGCCAAGTCTGGGGAGTCTGGGTTCGTGGCACCCGCAATGAAGTAGTGGTCGCGGTGGTCGATCGTGGAGGTGATCAAGGTGGCGGCCTCGGAGTCTGTACGAGCCACAGCCAAAAGGTTCGAGCCGCAGATATCGGCCGAGGCACGGATGGCCACCAAACGGTTGATGTGCTCCTGGACAGGGACCAAAACCTTGCCGCCCATGTGACCACACTTCTTGGTACCTGGAGCCTGGTCCTCAATGTGGATACCCGAGGCACCACGCTCGATGAACAACTTGGTTAATTTGATAATAGCCGTCAAGCCTCCGTGGCCGGTGTCTGCATCTGCAATGATCGGGCGCAAGTAGTCAATGTAAGGAGACTTCTCGCGCTGGGCACGGGTCATGCCACGGCGCTCCGCACGCTGCTTCCGGTCGTGGAAAAGCTGCGCAAACCACAAGTGCTCGACCTTGTTGGGCACAGTGTCGTATGGGTAGTCAGCCAAGTCGGGAGAGGGCTCGTTGGAGGTCGAGGCCGTGGAGGAACATTGCCAGCCGGAAACATAGATGGTGTCGACGTACTTGGCCATTTGCAGGACCTGCACTGGGTCCAACGCTCCAAAGGTGAAAGACGCGGTCTTGTTTCTGTCGTGCTCCTTGATAAGCTCGTACAACTTGTCGGACTGCGTCGACGAGGGGTAGCTGATGGAGAGGGAGCCGCGCTTGGAGGCGATTTCCTCAGCGCTGTAGATACGCTTGGTCTTGGCCCAACGCGGTTGGGACCACCACTGCTTGAGCTCAGCGACCTGGGCTTGGAAGACGCGGTCCTCCTCGTCCACGTTGATCTTTGTGTATGGCATGATGTGCTTTGGGATAAATAGAACTCGGGGTTTATTCGCAAGGAATGCTCTTGCTGAAAAATGCTGGATTTGTGAGGGAGTAGGGGGCGCCTGCCCGGCCCTTTATATTCCCGACGGCGGCGGCCGGAGTTTGGGTACCCCAGATTTTCCCTGCATGCCGGGGAAAAAGCCTCGGATGTGCGGACGGATGGTACGAGTCGTGCGCCGGCCAATTACATGGGGCCAGGGGCGGCGGCTGTTTCGCCTGGCTGCTGCTGCAAATTAGAGTTCAGAGTAGATGGTTTGCAAGCCGGCACTTGGCCCAGCAAGCCCTTACTAGACCACGCCTTACTAGACCACGCCTAACTATAACAGCAAGTCTGTGGGCCACCAGAAGAAACAGAGCCACAAGTCCAGATTTGTGGTTGGTATTTTTTTTTGCCCTGGCGCTGATGGCAGTAAGTGGGGCGATTGTTGGAGGCACGGGGGTGCGGGTTTCGTGGGGTTGGCCAATCCTCCATCCAAGCTATCTAGTGTGGGGGTCCGGCACAAGCCTCGCACCACACATGGGACATGGCAGGGCCGGACTCGGGGCCGATACGCTCCACTCATCCGCGGGAGCTCCGGCCCAGCGGAACACGCGTTTTTGCCCATTCACTTCCATGCGTCGTCCCAGACCAGCAGTGACTCATTTGGGGCTTAGGACTGGTCTAAGAATGTCGGCGGATGTCGCGGGCGATGGCTGCGACATCCGGGCACTTTGGAGATGGGAGCGTGAGGTTGGATGAGTGCAATTTCCATTGCACACAACATGATGCTTGCACACCCGTGTTTTTGCAAATCTGGTCGGGCGTTCCCTTAAAGCTTCGGTTGCGTGGGGGATACGTACTTTTTGGGAACATCGAAAAAGCCAAAGAGGCCGCAGCTTGCGTGGAGTCATTTCTCGACTCGGGGTATAATTGGGCCATTGTCAGCCCGCTTTGCAGGTTAACTCTTCCCCTCCGAGGACTATAGACATTTAGATGTCTTATAGGTCATTATGTAAATATATTGTTTGCATCTATATCTTTAGATTTATAACTATAGATACAGTGAGATCCATTGCAATATTCACCTTGTACTTTCTACCGAATCGAGTCTAATTTGTATGACTTCTTTCTATTCTTCTTTTTTGTTTTATTTTTATAATGCAAAGATAAGGCGCGCTCGCAAGAATACTCTTCTGTCGGGTGCCCCACGTTGCTTGCAGAACCCAGCTCTGTGGATTACGGAGGGAGTGCTAATAATAGAAGGGTCTTCAGGAATGATTCACGGTGCTATCGAAACAGAAACTCGGAGCGGCCGCGAAAATGTTTCTGATTGCCCAGCCCAGCGATGGACGGTCCAATAAGCTGGAGGCTCCAGAATGGTCTTGTAGACAGGCCATCAATGTCATCCACATCCAAGGCTAAGTAGCCAGGAGTTCACGAAAACGACACTTCCATATGGTTGAGACGCGGCGGCTCTGAAAATAGAACTGTGGTTGGCAGATGACCTCGCACCGTGCATACAAGATTAAGCTTTCCTTCCAGAGCCAATCTCAGCAAGACATGGAACAAGCAAGCTTTGCAAAGCACGGACATTTCCATGTGGCTTCGATCGTTTTATTGCCCGTGCTCATGGTTTCTTTGCATGGACCCCTCATCAGCGATTGGCACACTTGGTGTGTTTTTCAAAGCGTGCCATATTTCACACGTGGCGATGTGGTTCCAGACTGGCCCGGTATTAAGGTTGGTGCAGTGGGGCACGCCAGCCCAATTCCTGACTGCAGTTGCAAAAATCACGGGAATCCGAAATGAAGATTTCTTTTCCACACGGGCAGGGAAACACGAATCGTCAGAGACCGGCGGCCGTCTCAAGCGCAGGCATCGAGAAACCGGGGGACATGATTTTCTGCGGGCGCAACTTTAAATGCCCATGCGGAAAACCAGATTTGCACCTGATTTCCCCTCATTTTATTATTATTGCACACGGCTGGGATAGCCTTTTGAAGTAGGGGGCAAAGAGCAAATATGACATCGAAGCGGTCTGAAAACGGACTCACGGATGCTATATGCTGGGCACGTATGGACGGGCACATGGGCAGGTCCAATAGTCGAGATTAGAGTCGACGAGACAAAAAGGCAAAAAAACAAGAGTTGAGAAAAAAATCCACAGAAGCCCGCAAGGAAACCAGGCCCGTTTGGCCCGTTTTACAATGGCGTCTTAGGCTTGTGCCGCCGACGGAATCGGGCATTTTGGCCCCAGGCCTCATTAGTGCTTGGGCCCAGTGCGGTTTGGTCCTGGGGCCATTTTTTGCGCCGCGCCTTGAAATCTCGGCCCAAGGCTGCGGGCGAAAAAAGCCTTGGCCCGGGCTCTCCAACTAAAGACACGGGACAAAAGAAGCATTTTTTTTTCTTTCATTTTCGTTTGCATTCCGTGGCTCCGTGTTCTGTTGTACTGTCAGCAGAAGCTTCTTTGAAAGTCTCTTTTTTGTTGTTCTTTCCTTGCCACGGTGTCCTGGACATTCTGTGCGGACGCTGCGCTATACGTCATTGCTGAATCCAGCCGAGGCTCATCGCAAAGTAGGCGTCGAAGCCAGAAGGTGGAAATTTAGAAAGCCAGAGAGCCAGGGATCTAGACGACCAGGGATCTAGACAGCTAGAAACCAGAAATCAGAAAGCCAGAAAGCCAGAAAGCCAGAAAGCCAGAAAGCCAGAGATCTAGACAGCCAGAGATCTAGACAGCTAGAAACCAGAAAGCCAGAAAGCCAGAAAGCCAGAAAGCCAGAAAGCCAGAAAGCCAGAAAGCCAGAAAGCCAGAAAGCCAGAAAGCCAGAAAGCCAGAAAGCCAGAGATCTAGACAGCCAGAGATTTAGACAGCTAGAAACCAGAAAACCAGCAACCAGAAAGCCAGACATCCTCGGCACCAGAAAAAGACCGCCAGCTTCCCCAAACTCCCAAGACCGCCGGCCCCAGCACCTGGCAGTACACAACACACGATCCTGTCTGCTCCCACTCATCTGCACGTCCATGTTCGAGCAGCTTCTACCCAGTGATTACCAGCTGGTGTTCCGGCATCTCCCCGATATCCAGCTCGTGACCAACACGCTCATTTCGCTAGCCCCACTCTACACATACGGCACGGCGTGCCTCAGCATCCACCGCAAACGGTCGCTGACCGGGTTCTCGCTCGACATCTGCGCCACCATGCTCATGGCCCTGGTGCTCCGCATCCTCTACTATTTCATCGCGCCGTACGAGCCGTCGTTGCTCCGGCAGTCGCTCGTGATGGTGTTCATCCAGTGCGTCTTGCTCAAAGTGTCCTTGAACTATCGCCACGCGTCCTACGACCCGCAGCTGCTCGAAGAAACGCCGGGCTTGGCGCTGAAATTGGCCGGGGTGCCCAAGGTGCTGGCGTCGCTGTTCCAGTACACGGACCCCGAGTTCTACCGGCGCGTGGCGGAGTCCGTGGTGCAGTACTTGTGCATCTGCTTTGCCCACGCCGTGTGTTTTTTCGACGTCCACTACAGACGCCCGTTGCTCTTCTGGCAGTGGGCCGAGCATGCCCACTACTGGCGGTTTCTCCAGTACTTCACGCTCGTATTTTCGGTGCTCACGCTCGTGCTCCGCAACAGCGAGTCTTTCGCTTCTGTCATTGGCATTTTGGGTCTTTTCATCGAGGCGCTCCTCCCGCTCCCGCAGATCCTCATGCTCCAGCGCCTTCGCACGGTGGAGAACTTCAAGTCCATTCTCTTGGTGTCGTGGTTGGGCGGCGACTGCATGAAGCTCTCGTACTTGTTTTTCGGCACCGACAACGTGTCCGTGATATTCATCGTCGCGGGCCTTTTCCAGATGTCGCTCGATCTCGTCATCTTGGGCCAGTTCGTTTATTTCTACCGGCTCGACCTAGCGAACAAGGCTGCGGCGGGGCTTCCCATGTATGACCTAGCGCCTTCTAGCTCGCAGCATACCGGCTGAAGCCTCCGCTTTCGGCGGATCCAGATATGTGCTGGCGTGGGGCCGATTTTCTTCTGCCCACAGACCAAATTAGGCATACGCAGACGAAACTTGGCTCCCCGTCTTGGGAAAGGGACCATTGCAGCCAGTACTTGGTTTCATACCCTGTGAAGTCCACATGCCGGGGAGACGAGGGTCCCCGTCTTTGTCGCCATTGCAGAATCAAACCAGTGCTTCTACTCCATAACCTTGATAATTGCTACGCGGCGTGCTTGTTGTCATCCAGAGACCGCGCAGCCACAGCCGGCCTTATATATTGATGAGATGAGGCATTTCGGTATCCACCGAGCTGATAGCGCCGAACAGATGCGAACAGATGAGTGCCATTTGATGAGTGCCATTTGATGAGTGCCATTTGATGAGTGCCATTTGATGAGTGCCATTTGATGAGTGCCGATCTGACGAGTGCCATTTGATGAGTGCCGATCTGACGAGTGCCATTTGATGAGTGCTACCTGATAAGTGTCGAGGCACGAAGAACAATCGTAGTTGGACGGTTGGCCGGATCCAAGACTACGTGCTACCAAAAGAGGAGGGAATGATGAGCATGAATTGAATACATCTTTGAGTGAGAAAGATTATCAATTGTGGACAATAATTACTCTGTTCGTATGCTTCAGTATGACAGACTCACCTGTACCAAAAGAATAAGAGACCTTGAAACGGCTCGAAAATTGACTAGTCTGAAGAGTTGGCCGCAAACGATGAAGCGGGGCTTCCATAAGTAGTAGGCTTCGCAAACTAGAATTGTGTCGCGGCCCATTTTGATGGGCTAATACCGGGTGGCCTTAAGTTTATAATTGCTTGCGATCACGCTACATATCCCCATCAAAAACAAATCCCGTTTCTATTGAACTCCCATATGTACAGGTCTAAAAATATCCATAAGTGCATCAAGTAAATCCACAAGTTCACCAGGTATCGAAAACATCATTAGTTTGGCGAAATAAAATATGCACACATCAGACAGCCACGTACTCGACGTTCTCCTTCGCTTCGTTAATGAGATCCAAGGCCTCCTGCCCAGCCAAGCCGTGCTTGACCTTGATGTGTCGCGACAAGGCGTCGTTACGTGAAAACGTCTTCTGCTTGCCGTTCCCCGGCCCGCCGTTGGCACGGCCTTCGCATATCACGCATCTGTAGATCTTCTTCTCCGAGGCGTGGATGGTTTCCTGGTGGCGGATCAAGTCGTAAGGCCGCGAGAACTTGCGGTTGCACACCTTCCCGCTCGAGGGGTTGACGAGATCGCACTGGTGCTCCGGGTTGGTTGCCGATATCTCTGCCGCGGTCTTGTGGTAGTCCTTGGTGATATGCATCATGTCCGTTTGTGAATCCAACGACGACTTGCGCGATCCGGCGCCGCTATCGGGACCCTCGAGCTTTTCCATGCTCATTGAGGAGTCCTGCGTTGTGTGGAGCTCGTACTTGTTTTCCACAGGAGACGACTGTAGGGACAGCTCGTTCGTGGGAACGATCTTCATGAAGTTCGCCTGAGGAGAGTGCGTGAAGGGCAGCATGCCCGGAAGCTGCTCGTGGCTCATGGCGCGATCATCAAAACCGTCGTCGTCCTGAAAACAGTTGTCGTCGTCCGAGTCCTCAGACAACGCTTCGGCGTCTTCCACAAACTCATCCATGGGCACATACAGCTGGGAAGCTCCCGCGGCCGAGTCGCGAGGCACCGGAGCGTGGTCCAAGTCGCCGTTCATGATGTAGAGCGATGGAGACATGGTGTCCTCGGTGTTGAAGTAGTTCTTGTTGGCCAACATCTGCGAGGGCTGGATGTCGCAGTTGAACAAGAAGAAGTCGTCGTCCTTCATGGGCATGGAGCCTGGAGCCTCGTGGTCGCCCAACGTGGTGATCCGGCCCTTTCTGGCTTGGGTGTGCATGTTGGAGCGCATCTGTATTAGCTGTGGCTGGACAAACGCAGGCTGTTGCTGGTGTGGATGCTGAGACTGTGGATGCTGGTATTGATGCTGCTGGTATTGATGCGACTGGTATTGATGCAGCTGGTATTGATGCTGAGGCTGTGTGTTTGGCTGGCTGTTCCACTGCGATTGATGCTGGTACTGTTGTTGCTGGTACTGCTGCTGATCTAGCAGCTGGGCCTGGCCGAATGCATCGAACGCGTCCAGATGGACGTATCCGGCGTACGGACTGCCCCTCTGCGGCGTGTCGTAGGCCTCATCGCAAATGTCAAAGCCGTCCTGGGACTGCGACAAGCCGCTGTTCAAGGACGGACTCAGCGTGTTTCTGCGGCTGTAGTCCTCGAAAAAATTGTCAGGCACGTTGAGGATTTGCAGCAACTCGGCCGTGGCCGCGCCGGTGCTGCTGAAGCTCATGGCGGAGTAGGCTGGGCCGGCGGCATTGGCAAACACTGTGCCGATGGCCGGCGCCTGGTAGAGATCATCGTCGGTGAGATCGGTCATCGTCCTCTGCAAGGGGAACACGGCCAAAGACGTCATGGTTCTACTGGGTTCTTGTGGGGCGGGGTGCGGGGCGCTTGACTCCAAAACAAACAGATGTCGATGGAACAGGGCGGCCTCGAAAGGAGTTCTCAATGGCCAGGGGCTGTTTCAGGGTGAAACGGCTCGCGGGGGCAGAAACCGAAGGGGCTGCAGGAGAAAGGAAAATGCACGGGTCTTCTACGTGCGAGACAAACTCGGGGATCTGTGTCTGTACACAGAAGTGTGAAGCGCTGGTGTTCAGGGGTCAGCGGCTAGTGGTCAAAAGGCCGTGGTGCTGTCAATTGAGAACAGCTCAAAAGTGGAAGGCCCGGGGTTTTCTTTGTGTATGCAAGAACGGAAAGCAGAAAGCAAAAGATCTGACAGGCTGCAAATCAGATGCTGGGTGATGTTTTGTATCGGTGGAGCGATGGCCCGCGGAAAGAGATAGGGCGGTTGATGTAATATATAGAATTCCGTGGGAGATTACTAATTCATCCCGTCCGTCCTGCACACGCGCGCGTACGGGTGCGGATGTGGTTTCTTGCTTCGTGACGGCATTGCACTGCGATGCTGCAGCACGGGTGAGGTCGGCGATAACCCCGATCGGGAAATGCCTAAGAAAGCCGAGCTCCGCGCTCATCTCATGCGCCACACTCGCAGGCCTCAATGCGCAGCTGTTGAGATGAGACCAGAAAGGGCGGCCGGTTTTGGCAAGTGTGATGTTCGAAAAGGCTGCAAATGCGTTGGAGTGGGCGGCCCTTTACGGGGCATGCGCCTGCCCAGAGAAGCCCGGCCCAAAAAAGAAATCCAGCCTCATGGTACGAAATCCCCCGACGCGTTGTGTGCCGCACCCAGGGTGCTGCTCGATTCCGTGGATGTCTCACTTGCAGAGACCGTGCATGGTCGATGCAGCCAAAGCGTGCGCCTCGTCCAACAAATCAACAAGCCGGATCGTCTTCATATTAGAGACGCGAGCAACGCATATCAGAGACGCCAGCAACGCAAAGCGGTGGAACGCGCCAAACCCCGATTTTGCGGCCCCGATTGGCCTCGCTGCTGACGGCTGATTTTTTGGCTCTGCTAGCACGGCCGGCCACCAGCACAAATCCGATTTTTGGATAGGCTCATCTCCAGCTTTCTTCCCCTCTGCCAGGACTAGTGATGGACTAATGATTGGTGACTGGTGACATCAGCGATGAGGCCCAGGTCGCGCCGTATGTGTACTGCGCCGGGTTTAAGTTGTCGTGCGGCGGAGATAGATCCTGGGCTTGTGTGCACAACCACAGGAAGCCCCACGGCTCTTCCGGATGTTGCTACTTCCGTGTCCCGTGCCCATTGCTGACCCGGGTGGACGCGGGCCCGCTGGCCGGGGCCAAACGAGAACCTGGAATGCCGGCCGCAAAACAAGGACGGAAAAGGCCTGGCAAATCTGCGCCGCCAAACCTGCCATATGATGGTGCGTGGGTCTCTCCGAAGATTGGCCCGAGCGATAAGACTTTATTTTTTTCTTCGGTGACGTATTTGGGGTCCTGTATTTTTTTTTCTTGGGGGTTTTTTCGTGGGGGCCCTGGAACATTTTTTGGGTGCCATTCTGGAAGATCATTTTCTGCGCGCCGCGCTCGGATTTAGACCGTCATAAAACCGATCTTGATTGCAGAGGCTGCGCTTGCTGTGAGCTAGCCCACACCCGGAATGCCGAGTGTGGACCAACAAATGGCGGGCTGGTGCAACTCCGGCTCTGGATGTAGAATTGGAATTTCCAGACTGGGGGCGGCCAATGGCGGTTGTTTTTGGCTGGGGTCTTGCGATCTCTTTGATGAGAGATGCTAGGTAAGAATGACTCACGTGGACTCTCACAACCATGGGGTGCCAGCCCCACGCACGTCATCGCAAGCTCGTGTTTCGGGGCTCCAGGCCGACGGCATGCAGAATGGAAATGCCATTCGCCACTCACGATACGACAAGATGGCAACAGATAAGCCGATCGTATATGGATGCATCGTGGGAGGTGGCGCATTCCGGGGAGTCGAGGCACGGCTTTGGTGTTGTGGCGCCAGGCCCTCCGAACCGACCTGGGGAGGACGGCCGTTTTATATGACGAAGAGAATTAAGTGCTTAGTTCATTGTTCACGTAGTAATTTCAGTTCGAGTCGAGGTCGCCTATTTCAATGGGGCCGGGAGCCACCGAATTGGAAGCCTTTGGAATCACGCAGCCAATTGAGGGGGCAACGTCGAAGGTGTCGTTAATTGTAGGCAAGGTTTCCCGCAGCCGGTATGACAGAGGTAAGATAGGTCACTTGACAGGAGTTTCCAGCCGAATTGCCGAGATGATATAGGGGCATTTCCAGTCAATTTCGACAACGTTCTTCTGAACCAATCTTGACACAAATATCTCCAGCGACACCAGCCAATCGCCATTCCCGCGTTCATTCCATCCTATTCCGACAAATCTGATTCCGGCAATTTCGATAGGGTTCGTGCAGCCAAATCGACCAAGTTCTCTTCAGTCATTTCAACACAGTCTCCTTCAGCCAATTTGGACAACGCTTCTTTCAAGCAAGTATGACAAAGTTCAGGCAGTCCTAATTTCAGCGCTGATTCCCGTCAACCTCGACACAGGTCTTTCGAGTAAGACCCGTCCATTTTCATTTCAGCGTTCATTCTAGCCTATTTCGACAAATCGATTTCAGCCACTTTCGACAGTGCCAAATCCAGCCCATTTCGACTGCACGCCGGCGCATATCAACAGAGGCCGTTAAGACACTTGACTGCACTCTTTGAGGAAAAACCAGCCAATCTCCAGCGGTCAACCAGCCAATTCCACAGAGTTCTTTCCAACACTGACTCCAGCCAATCGCGACAAAGTTCTTTTAGCAATTCGACAGAAGTTCTCGATTTGTCACATGTCTCTCCAGCAACACCAGCCAATCTCACATACAGCGTTCATTCCAGCCAATCTCAAATACAGTGTTCATTCCAGCCAATCTCACATACAGCGTTCATTCCAGCCAATCTCACATACAGCGTTCATTCCAGCCAATCTGAAATACGTTCATTCCCGCCAATCTCACATACAGTGTTCATTCCAGCCAATCTGAAATACGTTCATTCCAGCCAATCTCAAATACGTTCATTCCAGCCAATCTCAAATACAGCGTTCATTCCAGCCTATTCGACAAATCTGATTCCGCCAACTTCGACAGAGTTTGTCCAGCCACTTCGACAAAGTCCTTTCAGCAATTGCGACAGAGTATTTCTCGATTTGACACATGTCTCTCCAGCAACACCAGCCAATCTCACATACAGCGTTCATTCCAGCCAACATCGACAAATCTGATCCAGCCAATTTCGACAGTTCTCTTTCCAGCGCTGATTCCAGCCAACGTCGGCAAATCGGGTTCCGCCAGCTTCAACAGAACTCGCCCCACAACCAACCCGGCCAGCCCCCAACGCCAAACCAAAACCACCGCCGCGGCCGCCACAAAAGAGCCGCGTGCCCCGGTTTCCCCGATTTCCAAGTGCCGCCGCAGCGCCCGCGCCTCGCAAATTAGCACTTGGCCCGCTCCTGGACCTGGCCCTCCCGCGCCACCTTTTCCATGCCCCGGCGGGCCAACTCCTCGTCGAGGTAGTAGTAGTCCCCGAGCAAGCGGCCGCGGTCGTCGAGCTCAAACACAAGCGGCACGCCGGTCGGCACGTTGATCTCGCTGATGCGCTCGTCGCTCACGTGGCAGAAGTGCTTGATGAGGCTGCGCACAATCAGCCCGTGGGTCACCACCAACACCGTGTCGTGGTGCCCGAGCACCCGGCGGGAGACAATGTCGCTTTCCACGTACGGAAGGAGCCGCTGCAGCGTGGTCTCCAAGGACTCGCCGCTGGGCGCCGTGCGGTCCAAAAGGCCCTCGTAGCGCTCGTCGATCGACGCGTCGTGCCGCGCGTCCGCCTTGGGCGGCACCGCGTGGAAATCCCGCCGGTAGTACTGGTACCGGGCCTTCCCATACTGGCGATACACCTCGCTTTTGCTGCGGCCCTGGAACGCGCCATAGTGGCGCTCGTTGAGCCGCCACGACTTTTCGTGCGGCACCCACATGCGCCCGACCGTTTCCAAGATGATCTGGCCTGTCTGGATGGACCGCTGGAGCATGGACGTGAACATGAACGACGGCTTGATGCCGTGCGCCGTGAGCAACTGGCCTGCGTGGTGCGCCTCGCGCCTGCCCTTTTCGGAGAGCGGGATGTCGATCCACCCACAGAACCGGTTCTCGTGGTTCCATTGCGACTCGCCGTGGCGAAGCACGATGAGTTTGTGTGGCATTGCTGGGGGGTGGAAAAGAAGGCGTTGGGCTCTTTTGACCTGGCCGCGACGAGGCCGGGCGAGCGGTCACGTGCCGCGTGGTATGCGCTTACACGGCCCTCCCGTCTGCCGTGCCCTGCCCGGTCGGTACGGCCTGGCCACGGGCAAGCAGACAGAATGGCGGGCCAAGACAATTGGGACGCCCGGTGGCGGCGCGCTGCGTGCAGAACAGCAATGCTGGCACCTGATCCAGCGTACACCACTAGGAAGGGTGGAGAAACTGAAGGCAAGTGAGAAACGGGTCCACTGGGTATACGTGGCTTCGGAGACAAGACAGGACACGCAGGACCGGGTTTTAAGGCGGAAGCCGGAGCGTGTTCTTGTGGATGGGCTTGGACTGAATAGAGCAAGACCAGCTCTACGTTCATATGTCGTGGCCAGTAATTCACATGAGTCACGCACGGGATCAATGCGTTGGCTCCATCCCCAAAATGTGATGATGGAAGACACACGGAGCGCGACTGGCTGTGGGAACACTATGAGTATATGTAAGTGCATTGAAGGCACCGATTGATCTGTTAGAACCAAGAACTGGGTACACCCCAAAGGTGCACTTGGTCCTATAGTATGGAATGCTGTATGGGTGATGTGGATATCTATGTGTCAAAGAACACAAAGATCAGCCAGAAGCTGGAAAATCTCAAAAGAGTGATACTAAACGACCGTGCAATAGGCCGGTGGTTTGCGAAATGATTGTCAGGTCCTGGTATCAGCTTGACACCGAGCACCCTGTAAGCGCATATACGACTATATGCACCTCTATTATTGTGAGGTCCGTCAGATCTCGTTTTGAGCAACTGTGTTTTCTCGAGTTCCAGGGTTCACGTGACCTCTACTGCTGTGAGCTCCGCCAGATATTTTGAGCAACTGTATTTTCTCGAGCTCCATGGTTCACGTGACCTCTACTGCTGTGAGCTCCGCCAGATATTTTGAGCAACTGTATTCTCTCGAGCTCCAGGGTTCACGTGACGACGTGGTATATAAAGGCGGAGTAGAGCTCCTGCAGAGTTCTCGAGAAGCCAGTGATACAGAACCCCATGACCTGAGAAGTCTTAACAGATTCATCACGAAATGTTTTGAAAGACATGCGTGTGGTACCTAAAGGACATCAGAATATTAACGTCTTGCTTATGTAAGATATGCTCTTGTAATAAGAAGGTTTGCGGATTTCCTAGATGAAAGAGATCAAATTTGAGTTTACTTCAAACAAACTTGTGGTCTAGGAAAAGTATAGAAAAACTCACATCACCAAGAATACCTTTCCTGGGAGCCATATTGAAGAAAGAAGAATTGCGCGTCTAGTTGTAGTAAAAACAGAGCTACAATGGTAGCTAATACCAGAATGTTAGTTACGGCACCTGTAAAGAAAGTATCTGATATTTCTGTAAGATCAGATGTATCAACATAAACTAAATCGAGGTGAAACCAGGAGCTTGAGGTCATTTGGTTCCTTTATTTCATTATGATAATGTAGCGTTCAGAACAAAAATAATGTTCTAGTCTCTTCATTCTCCTCTAATTATAGTGGATTATCGAATCAATAGGTATGCTTTGAATAATTAAAGGAATGAGGTACAGCAATGGCGGATTCCAATACTGGAGTAGGGTCAACATACCAGACTATGAAAGTCCACATAATATTATATCGCTACGAACAATAGTAATGTCTTTACTATTCTTGAGGCTAAATGAGCTAATAAATTAACCTCGCTCACAGCGGATCACCAGTAACAACGGCCTCAAGCACCCCTGAAATCACGGGCGATCAAAGTAGCCACGGACTCAGCTCGTTTATGTTTCTTGTGCTCGTGTATGTTTCATGTCCTCCTGTTTGTTTCTTGTCCTCGTGTATGTTTCATGTCCTCCCGTTTGTTTCTTGTTGAAATGATGCACGACTCATCTTGGATGAGTTCGAAAGACAGGCCCTTTTCCAAGAAGCTGCTAGAGACCATGTTCTGAGACCAGTCTTGGAGCTGTCACTTCAAGTTAACTAGAACTCCAGAGGAGCGTTTAGAGACGCCAGAATCATGGCAGGCAAAAAGTTCTTGGCAACCATTGAGGTTTTGGAATACGCTATTTGCCAGCGGACTATTTTTTTTCTTTTTGCAAGGAAGATCAGGTCGACATACTTCCGGTCTGCTGTAGAGATTTCTCATCCAGTGTCACTAAAGGTATGCCTCCAATAGTATATATATCTCGACGAGTTGGTGGGAGCGAGAGATATCTTGGGCATTGCCTTCGATAGCACACGCTACCCAAGCCCATCTGGAATTGACTAGATGCGGCCCACTAGTTGAGCCGCTCCAGTGACTGCAAGACAGCTCGGAGCTACAAGACCAAACATTGTCTCGCTTGTACGGATATTTGGTAGCCAAGATCTTCTAGTTTTGTCTATGAGGTTTGGTTCCGGTTTTAGCAGAGACACAGGCGAGCGAAACTTTTTTGGGTGGATTCATCTCCAGCACCAACTTGCAGATTGAAGCTCAGCCTTAGATTTTCGAGGTGAATTGTCTTGCATTTTCTGGAAACATCTTGCTGGAACTCAAATAGTTATCAACTTCACGGTAGTAGAGATCTAAGCATATGCAAGACCTGTCAAGCAAGCAAATGATGGTTCAAACAAGTCTCTCATGCCCCCTTCATAAATTCGAAAGAGGCAAGGTTGAGATTTGGAAGCAGCCAGCTTATCCTGTTTTTTTTTTATAAACGGTATCTTGTACAACAGCTCGAAAAATATGTCGGGGGAAAAACGCCAATGGTGAACTCATGGAAAAAATCAAGGACGAGCCGTTGGTGAAGAAAGTTGAGGTCCTTAGAATCCCCTGCAGAGTCAACTGAAGTATCAATCGCTGCCAATGATTAAGGGCTTTCTGTGAGGTCAATGAAGGACGGAATGGAATAAACAGCAATCTCATGGGTCTCTGAGTATTTGCTAATCTAGTTCCAAGCCTATTCCTGCAACTAGATCTGTGTATGGTATTGCAAGGACCGGCTCTTGGGGAGCCGTGTCTGGTTAAGATATAGCCGGAAACAATGTTCTCTTTTGCTTCCAAGTTTCGCTCTACTTTACTAGTTCGACAGAAATGTGTTTGCAGAAAACTCCCGAATCTCATGAGGACCGGCCCCCAGCAAAGAAATTGTACAGTTGCGTGCTGGTATTCATCTGCCTTCCTTTTCAAGGCAAAAGGCCGCTTTTTGAAAATTCTTGCGGAGGATTAGTTATTCTTGACTCTCGAAAGTCAACGCGATAGGCCATACCGTTCGTCATGATACTTATATTGGTCCACGGTAAGGACAGAAATTGGGTGCTGTGCCAGCTTAGATATCCTCCCACAACTTCCAAATTATTCGATGACGAGGCACTATGAATGGTGGGCGAAGTGTTTGTCAGGTGAAAGCCAATCCCCAACAATAGAACCTCCATCCAGAAACAGTAAAGAGGCACCAAAAAAGACCACTTTTCTTCCCTGTGATCTCGAGGCCACTGATGCCAAAGAGCGCCGTCTCAGGTTATCTATGATTTGGTCCGGAAAGCCCGGGGCAAAGACCAAGAAACCCGCAGAATGATCCACAGAGATACATGTCAGATATACGAAAAGCAGACATTCTGACTGTTGAGAATCCCAGTCCCTTTCATCATTTCATCCTTCTCAAAAGCTCTACGCCTATCATTGGCATGATGGAAGAATAGTCAGCACACCGCCATACATCATTCACCTGTTTTGGATGTGGTTTACTTGTGAGCAACATTGGTGTTCCTGCCAACGAACTTATCCAGGCTGCGTGTCTATCATGCAACGAGCTACAGAGGCGATGTCTCTAAAATAAAGATTGATATCGGTCGACAAGTGGTCACAGAGCATCCGCCGTCTAAACGCCGGAATCCCAGTTTTTCTTGGGGAGCCAAGAACCAGGCTTGGCAAAACAGGGCGTGGTCAGCGTTTTTGCTCCGGCCATTTATAAAACCACCGAGCATAGCCGAAAGCCGGCCCGGGCCCATTTTGGGTCTTCTGCACAAAAGCCGTGCCGCCCCGGTGTTTACAAACGCACACTCAGTTTACAAACAGCCTGCTCAGGTTCCGATATATACATGGTGTTTTGGCCGCCGAATTGCTGTCCAGGTTATAAACGAGATATCCACTCATACTCACCAATCACTATATATGTCCTATCGAGGCAGGCTGCCAGCTCCGCTCCCGATTGGGTAAGCGGCTTATTCTTTTACGTGTTCTAGCCTCGCGGGCCGCAGCAGATAATGCGGTTCCGCCGGCAAAAAATCATAGAACGGGCTTTCGAAGCGTCCTGTGCTTATCTATTAGCCGGCACCCTCAAACAATAAATCACCGCCGCATTCAGACAGGCCGGCCTGCACACACGCCGCATGCAACCGGCGACGTTGCATTGCAACATGGACACGAGGCACCGTTGTCCATGCACATATAAGCCTGCCCCCTCCGGCAAGCCCAGGGGCCGAGTAGAGAAGTACAAAGAACGGCGAGTACATAAGCCGCCTTTATCATTTTTTTTGTGCCGCCACTTCCGCTCCCCATCCATCAAATTTATAATTCTTTACCCATCAGCCAGCAACACCAGTGCCCGCAAACCGCGAACATGACCCGGACCAAGCTTACAGTGGAAACACTGCTTAAACTCACCATTCCCGTCACGCTTCTCTACAGCCCAGATATGCCTGCCGCCTCCAAGTATATAGAACGCCCGTTCTCGTGGGCCGAGGTCCAGCACATAGTGGCCACCAATGACTTGGACGTGTTTGCACGGTCGCGCCTGCAGACAGAGCATTATCTAGCCTTCAAACGAAAGCTACGGCTCCAGGAAACCACGGTGTACAAGCATTTGCTTACAGAGTCTCTCGAATGGGCAAGTGCGGACGCCGTAAATGGCCTTTTGGATCTGGAAATCAAGGTTCGGAGCAGCGGCGCTGTGCCCTTCTCCAACGCAACGGACCTCCGCATCATCCGCAACGATTTCCCGTACTATTTCGAGGATAACGTGTGCCATCTTTGTGTATGGACCAAGGAGCCGATTCCGTCGGACCCGCGTAGTGATCGGGGCGACATCTCGGCGGAGACGCGAGAGCTCATTGAGAAATACGTGTGCCAGACGTTTGTGGAACACGCAGGTTTTGCCAGGGAAAACGTGCTCTGGTTCCGCAACTGGGAGGCGCTCCAGAGCGTGCGGGAAATCAGCCATATTCACGTTCTCCTCCGAAACGCGAGCCGGGGCCAGGTGGACATGTTGATTGGCACGCCGGGCGTGCCTATAGAGTTGTGAGGAGCATGTGCTGGACGGTGCGCTATTGGAAGGGTCATTTCTCTGGGGGGCCCAAGGGAAATTATAGACGAGAGTAGAATACATGAGGCGCGGGTGATGGCTTGCGTGCCGTGAGCCAGCACATATGCTGGCAGCATCAAGTGCAATGCGTGGGTTGCATTGGTATTTTTCTGTTTGGTGACTGTTCTAGCAATTCCAGTGTTTGGTCAGAGTGGTGGTGTTTTGTGGGTGTAGTCCAAGTGTAGTTTTAGTGATTGGCGAGTGATTCTACTGATTGGTGAGTGATTCTACTGTTTGGTGAGTGATTCTACTGATTGGTGAGTGATTCTACTGTTTGGTGAGTGATTCTACTGATTGGTGAGTGATTCTATTGTTTGGTGAGTGATTCTACTGATTGGTGAGTAGTTCTACTGTGGTTCAAGTGTCTACTTCTGGTATCTGCATCCTAGTGTGTGGTATCGGTATTTATACTGTTCTATCGTAATTCTACCGTCTAGTGACTGGCCCACTATGTGGAGACTCCGTTTCTTCCTGTTTCTTGTTTCTGTTTCCACAGGTTCCTCTTGATGCTTTATGGGCGCAAGCGAGGCAGCTGCACATGTCTTCATTCCCGCCAGTTGGTGTATTGTTTGCAATCTGTGTTATACTTTATTGGCCCTGGACTTCCCAGACTCTTCATCGGGCTCAGCCTGGACGCGGGACCTTCGAGCTGGTGTTCTCTCAAACAGTAGGCCAAAGAAAAGAAACCCATGATTCCAGACCCTTTCATTTCGGATCTCTCAAGAAGGTATAGAAATATTCCATGCGATTGTTCCCATCAAAGGATCTGACGCACCATCCAGCATGTTCTCTTCAGGCATTTTTTCGAAAAGCTACGATGACAGAGAGGTACTCGTGGAAATCTCGGCAACGTCAGAACGATCCGGACTCTTTCCATGTAAATGGGACCCGGCCGGCCAACTGCCGGGTCACGTGACCCGCCTTATTCTGGTCCCATCTCCAGAATGTACTCTGCAAATTGAAATTATAACCAGAGGCCGCATACGTGTTACGTAATAGCATGGTTAAGTCCTGGTAAAGTCTGTCCTGGCAAGAAGCCTGCCGAACACTACCGCCATTTGAGTCTAGCAATAAACGAGGCACGCGCCCGTGGCCCTCTCATGCCCGGCGTTCAAAAGCATCAGCAAAGACAAGGACAAGTCTTTGGCTACAGCGCAGGATCCATAAAACGTTAATTAGATAATATACATAAAAAACCCGAGCAAGCACCAGCTTAACCACCGAAACCGTACAAGGTTCTACCCTGTCTCTTCAAAGCGTAGACGACGTCGAGAGAAGTCACGGTCTTTCTCTTGGCGTGCTCTGTGTAGGTCACGGCATCTCTGATGACGTTCTCCAAGAACGACTTCAAGACACCTCTGACTTCCTCGTAGATCAACGCGGAAATACGCTTGACACCACCTCTTCTGGCCAATCTTCTGATGGCTGGCTTGGTGATACCCTGGATGTTGTCTCTCAAGATTTTTCTGTGACGCTTAGCGCCACCCTTTCCAAGACCTTTTCCTCCTTTTCCTCTGCCGGACATTGTATTAGTGTGTGTTTAGTGTAGATAAGTATATATAGAAATATATGATAGAAAAAGAGAACAGAGGGGCGCGGGGCATGTATTATATATAAGGGGAGACCCTCGAAAAAAAAAAAGAGCCCAGAATCCAAGCCCGAGAATAGCGCCCTCACTGCGTAGGTGGGGTACCTGGCGTAAGAAACGCACTGGCTTTTGCGGCTCTTCTTGAAACGACAAGTGAGCGCGGAATGGCAAGCAGGCCCGAAAAGCACTTAACTAAGGCCAGTCTGGCTTTTGCGCGCGCGAAAAGTAGCTCGTTGGCGTGCTGCGAAATACGCAGCCAGGGCGTAGATTGCAGCACCGCGCCCACGGCTCCTTTCCTGGTTCTGGCGCGCTGTCGGTGGCTTTTCGCTCGCTTCGCGCATCCTGTGTGCACACCCCCACACCGCTGGATGTCGTCAAAACAATGCTGCGACACAAGCGCGAGGATTATATATAATAAAGTGGATCCGCCCTCCTTCTTTTTGGCCTCATTATCTACAACCAACACACAAAATGGCTAGAACCAAGCAAACCGCAAGAAAGTCGACTGGTGGCAAGGCCCCAAGAAAGCAGTTGGCCTCCAAGGCTGCCAGAAAATCCGCCCCTTCTACCGGTGGTGTCAAGAAGCCCCACAGATATAAGCCAGGTACCGTTGCCTTGAGAGAAATCAGAAGATTCCAGAAGTCCACTGAGCTTTTGATCAGAAAGTTGCCTTTCCAAAGATTGGTCAGAGAAATCGCCCAGGACTTCAAGACTGACTTGAGATTCCAGTCCTCGGCCATCGGCGCCTTGCAGGAGTCCGTCGAGGCCTACTTGGTCTCCTTGTTCGAGGACACCAACTTGTGTGCCATCCACGCCAAGAGAGTCACCATCCAGAAGAAGGACATCCAGTTGGCCAGAAGATTGAGAGGCGAGAGATCGTAAGCTCACTGGTGCTGCTTTACTTCTCATGCTGTATTATTTATGACCTTTGTATATTAGCCAATATCACGAATATTCCAATAATGTGTGTAACTCAAGCTTTCGGTTCATGGCGGAAGTTCCTTTCTGCGCCGCATATGAGCTCAGAAGCGGTTCACAAGAGACTACCGCAAAATAGCAGCTTATGGCTCCAAACATGCGCCATCCCTCCCCTGGGCGACCTGATATTACGCGAGTCAGGATACAATATTTTCTCCAAACAGATTTCATTACTGAGGAACCTATGAAGCCTGGGCGCACGCTGGGTCTAGAACGGATACACCAGAGGCTCGTTCTCCACCACATAGCCCCGTTTCTCTTGCTCCTGCGCCTTCTCCTCCAAGTACGGCAAAAGCACGTCCTTGAACTTCTCGTACCCCCTGTACTCGCGCACGTCGTCAGTCCAGCTTTCGATACCGTTCAACAATCGCCGTGGAATGTACGGCTCGGTACACATTTCTGTCATGGGACAGAAATACGTTCTGATGGTGAAGACTACGGCCCCGGTCTTGGGCAACCGGCGCAAACTCTGGCGCTCGCTTCGGTACCAGATCTGGTCCGGCGTCTCTGCTGGCTTGGCCGTGTACCAGCCCACCACATCCGAGTTCTCGTCTCCGATCGACGTCGACCAGCCCAATGCATTGTCAGTCTGGATGAAGTAGTTGTTGCGCACCACGGGCTTCTCGCAGGTCAAGCGCGTGAAGAACTTGGTCATTCCACTCTGCAACTTCTCCTGGTATTTGGGCACATCTCCGTTGGTGTGGATCTGGTTGAGTGGCAAGCCCACTTTATCCTTGAACCTCCAGAACCCAGGCAAGATGATGGCGCCTGCCTTCAACACGTAGTTTCCGTCGGAGCCCTCTATCATGATTGCCAAATCGTCTTGCACCATCTTTGCTGCCATGACCATGGGATCCTCGCTGTACTCCGTGCAGTTCTTGAAGACAAAACGCTCACCCGTGAGAAGGTTTTCCAACCCGTTGTCTAGCTGCCTGAAGAGTGAGGGGTATCTTGCCGGCAAATACGCCCAGAACTCGTCCAAAAGCTCGAGGACAGCGGCCTCGGCACCGGGCAAGGTTCCGTAGACCTCTGTGCCCTTCTCGTCGAGTCTTTTGATTTTCTCCGAGTGATACTTCATCCACTCGTTGTCCAATTCAATCCACGAGTCCCACTCCATGTTTCGAATGCCCATAGTCACGTTGTACTTGTGTTTGAACGCCCTGTACGGGAGAGGTTGGGTTTTATTGACGTCCCAGTTTTTGAACGGCAGAGGCACGGGCGTGACGAAATCATCCGGCACCCAGGTGCCGAATTTCCGGTCTTTGTTGGCACTGGAGACTCTCGTGGGTTTGGCTGTTTTCTTGCTCTTGTTGTAGTAGGCTGTGGCCAAGCACACGGCAACTAATAAGTACACGTAGTGCTTGAGTTGGAGAAAGTCCAAGAGCGGAACAAACATGATCCGCTGGGGTTTTAGCAAAATGAAAATTCCTTGCGAGAGATATTAGCGGCCCCAGACAGTCTAGATGAGTCTTGACGAGTTTGGTTTTTGCATTTCCGTCGGCACAGGCACAAATCGCCCGGCCTTTATAACAGGCATGCTATCAGCTCGCGCCAAACGCTTCCCAAAGCGGTATGAAGATCCCGGGTGCGGCGCGGACGCAACAGGCAAAAAAACGAGTGGGTGCGAAAAAAGATGGCTGCGCGCAAGTGGTTCCACGCGCGGGCAGGCCAAAAACCAGGACCCTCCAAAACTTCCCGATTTCGGCAATTGGGAGAATCGCCTGTTACCTTGCCCAGACATGAGCCTCTTTAAGTCATTATTCAGGCTCCAAGTGTACGGTGAACGTTTCTTCACATTGGTCACGATTTTCCACTCTTTTCATATTTTCATCGCCTCCCACTTTTCTCCTTTCCACTCTCCTTCTTTTCACTCTCCTCTTCACCCTTCCCTCAAACTCCTATTCTCTTCTCTCCTCTTTACCCTTCCCTCAAGCTCCTGTTCTTTTCTCCCACTCTTCTCTTCTCGTCTCCCACTCTTCTCTTCTCGTCTCCCACTCTTCTCACGCATTCTTCTTTGCTTCAGAAATTCTTTTTTGCTCTTCTTTCCATCTTCTTTCCATCTTCTTTCCATCTTCTTTTCATCCGCTTCGTTCTCTTCTTCTGCTTTCTCTTCGTCCCTATGCTGGCGGGAGGAACGCAGAAAAAAGCGCCGTCTGGAGCACATTCCACACCACGAAATACGCCACCCATTTATACGCCCATTTCTGGCCTCGTGGATCTGGCTGGGTAAGAAGCCCGGCCACCACCCAGTACACCACGGGCAAGAACGTGTGGATGCGCGTGATGATTTGTACGTGCCCGAACAACATCACCAGGCACAAAAACACACAGTTGACCGCCAAAACAGGCAACGTCCTCTCGACCGGGTATATCTGTGCAAAGTACCTGACAGCGAGCGCCAGCAAAAATACCGTGGGTGCGGCAAATACGAAGTTCGGCACGTTGTTCCAGGTCCAGTACCGAAATAGCCCATTGCCCCAATAGTGCGACTGTGCGTACGCGAATAACGAGGGGATTCTAGCTTCACACCATGCTCCCCGGCCAGAAGGGCACACCAGCACATAACTGTGGATCTGGGCGGCAAGAAAAGCGGCCCCCAAAATCAGCCCGGCGGCTAGCGGCAAAAAAGGGGTCTGGGTTTTCTTGTATACGATATCGTATACGTAGACTAGGCCCAATAACAAGCAATTGGCCCGGAAGCCAAACGCGAGTGCTGCTAGCGCGCCGCTGGCAAGGTAGATGCATGCTTGCAGGGAAGCAAGTAGCGGGCGCCAGGCGGGGGTGCGTTTCAGCGGTGTTTCGCCCGTCTCTGAAACACTCCCTGGAACACTCCCTGAAACATTCCCCGAAACACTCCCTGGAACACACCCTGAAACACACCCTGAAACATGCCCCGAAACATAGCCGGAAACGCTGCCGCTTCTTTCCGAAATCGCTTCTTTCTTGTTTCTCCCAGCCCCTCTTGGCTGCAAAACCACTGCATACACCAAGTGGTCTTGGTCCAAACTGACGTCTCTTGCAAATAAACACAAAAGGCTGCACAATGCTGCAATTGACTCAGAATATGGAGCAGTCAAAAACGCCGCTGCAGGAGAGCATACGTAGAGCATCAGCGCCAATGTTGCCATGCGTTCGGATGAGAAAATACGGGCTCTTTTGAAAACGGTTAGCGTGTAGAAGTAAAGCACGATTGCGGCCGCCAAATGACTCAAATTCGCAAGCACCGTTGCCCATATGAGCCGGGAATAGAATCCCGTTTCAGGGTTTACGGGAATCACATGTATGAGCCGCCACCAGAGGGGGCAAAACACGAATTGATGTTCGTACAGAATGCCCCTGCTGAATAGATCGGCAAAATACACCGCATCCCAAGTCACTAGCCGGTCGAGAAACCTGTCTAGAATCAAACTGACTGATTTCCCAAGCGCATGGTTGAGCGGCTCACTCCTGGTACCAAATGTAGACAACGCTATTTTTTCAGTCAGGTATGATTCTAGAAGAATCGATGATGAGACATCAAACTGCGCTGGACCCAAGATAACGATCACAAATTGGGCGGATTTCACAGCGAAAAAAAGAATGACTAGGTAAATGACAGTCTTCAAGTGAGGCATGGCACCTAGCACTGTCATTGTGGGTGATTATCAGGAAGAGCCAGCCAACTAAAATAGAACCCCACCTTCGGCGAGCCCATCTCGAACATGATCTCACGCGTCACGTGACTGGCCCCAGCATGCGATCATGCCAGCTATTGAGTGTCTATTGTTTCAAGAGTTTATATTTATCAATCTATGAATCTGCCTTCAGAAAGGAAGCAAAATGCTTCGTCTATTTCTTTCCGAACTGGGCGGCAAAGCTGTCGATAATTCCAGCGACGGATTGAGGGTTGGACAAGGTGGTGATGTCGCCCAATTGGTCGGCCTCGTTAGAAGAGATCTTACGCAAGATTCTTCTCATGATCTTTCCGGATCTGGTCTTGGGCAAGTCCTTGACAATGATCACGGACTTAGGAGCAGCAAAGGGCCCGATGTGGGATCTCACCACCATGATCAACTCCTTTCTGAGAACGAAGGCCTCGTCGGAGTTCTCGTGGTTCTCGATCTTCTGGGCAGCTTCATCCTTCAAGGCAACGAATGCAACAACGGCCTGGCCGGTCAAGTCGTCGTTGATGCCCACAACAGCAGCCTCAGAGACACCGTGGTGCTCAATCAAGGCAGCCTCGATCTCGGCAGTGGACAATCTGTGGCCTGAGACATTGACCACATCGTCGACTCTTCCTCTAATCCAGTAGAAGCCATCGTGGTCCCTGGCTGCACCGTCACCTGTGAAGTAGTAGCCGGGGTATGGTCTCAAGTAGGTGTCCATGTACTTCTGGTGGTTGTTGTACACGGTACGGGCCATCGATGGCCAGGTGTTCTTGACGGCCAACACGCCTTCAACGTCGTTGCCCAAGATTTCCTGGCCCGACACTGGGTCGATAAGACAGGTGTCGATACCGAAGAAAGGCAACGAGGCAGAGCCTGGCTTGTTTGGAGTGACACCGGCAATTGGCGCAATGAAGTGCGAGCCGGACTCCGTTTGCCAGTACGTGTCGGAAATGTGGCATTGGCCCTTACCGATGTGGGTGTTGTACCACTCCCAGATGTCTGGAGAGATGGGCTCACCAACAGAACCCAAGGTTCTCAACGAGGACAAGTCGTACTTGGGGATCTCGCTCTCGCCAGCCTTTCTCAAGAGACGCAAAGCAGTAGGTGCAATGTAGAAGTGAGTGGCCTTGTGCTTCTCGATGATCTGGAACAAACGGCCGTAGTCAGGGTAGGCTGGGGTGCCCTCGAAAACAACGGTGGGGATACCCAAAAGCAATGGGCCGTAAAGAGCGTAGGTGTGGCCCGTGATCCAGCCAACGTCACCAGCGGTGAAGAGCACGTCCTCGGGATGCACGTCGAAGATGTACTTGGTGGTCATGGCAGCGCCAAGCAAGTAGCCACCCGTGGTGTGCACGACACCCTTGGGCGTGCCAGTGGAACCCGAGGTGTACAACAAGAACAATGGGTCCTCGGAGTTGACGGGAACAGGTGGACAATAGCCTGGGTACTTCTCAGCCTCCTCGTTCCACCAGAAATCACGGCCCTCAACAAGCTCGATCTTGTCGTTACCAGTACGCTTGTGCACCAAGACCTTCTGGACAGAAGGGCAGTCGAGCAAGGCCTCGTCACAGAGCTTCTTGATGTTGATGGTCTTTCCACCACGCTTGCCTTCGTCACAGGTGATCAATGCCTTACACTTGGCATCGTTGACACGGTCCCGGATAGATCCGGACGAGAAGCCGGCAAAGATCACGGAGTGGATGGCACCCAATCTGGCCACAGCCAACATGGCCACGATGGCATGAGCGTTCATGGGCAAGTAGATGGCAACAGTGTCACCTTTAGAGATACCCCAGCTCTTCAACACACCGGCGGTCTTCAGGACCTCGCGCAAGAGCTCGGCGTAAGTCAACTTGCTGGAGTCTTCCTCGCTGTCAGCCTCATAGATAATCGCCATCTTGTCTGGGTGCGCGTACGCCCATCTGTCCACACAGTTGTAGGAGGCGTTCAACTCGCCACCAACAAACCATTGCGCGTCACCATTGACCAAATCGCCTGCCTTGGTCTTGACGAAGTCCTTGTCCCAGTGCAACAAGTCGCGGGCCATTGGCCCGAAAAACGCCTCGGGGTCGTTGATCGACTGCTTGTACAAGGCCTCGTACTCGTCAATCGAGCTCACGTGGCCCTTGTTGGGCTGTCTTTCGAAGAATTCCTGTGGCGTGTGGAGCTTGTCGACGCCATTGGCTTCGTGGACTACAGAGTGTGTGGCCATGGTTTCTTTGAGTATTGTTAGTATGGTGTTTGGGAGGCTTCCGGGCGGATTCCGGCGCAGATATAAAGCCCCCGGGGAATGTCTGCCAGGTGCGCTCAGGGAAGGACTGAATGGCGGGGGAGCGGAAGCAGAGACACGGTCAATTGCGAGATGGATGGCTGTTTTTCTTCTTTTTTTGGGGGCTAGGTGAACCATTAAAGCTGCGTGGCGTATTTGAAAGCGTGTCCCAGCTCCATTGTGGCCTTTCAGCCGGGTCCTGATACATACCAATGATTGGTGTGGAAAAGAGAGTTGCACCTGTTCTCGCACTCGTACCGAGGCTCGTTTACTCAGCTCCGTTTTTCCGGCTCGGTGATTGTCGGGTATTTTTTTGGGTTCGCGCCGCGACTTATTTTCGATGCGCGAAGAAGTTGGGTACACGCCCATGGCTGCGATTTCTGGCGCCAGTGATATAGGCGCTGGACTCGCGGATGCCTTGGAATTGCAGCCCTGTCTTTTGAGTGTGATGGTTCATGAAATCCACATGGTTGGTAGAAGAGTGGGCCATGAGTTTTGGCGACAGCCCCTCTTTTTGATGTCCTGGTCACGTGTGTCTAGTCCACTTAGGCTGTAGGCGTCTAGCCGCTCTATATTGAGGGAGGCCAGCCTAGCCCTGGGGCGTTTCCAAATAGAAAAAGACCACTACCATCATTAGCTTTTATCAAGAGAAACAATGAAGAGCGGCAACACGTGAGTCTGGGCTGACTCCTGAGTTCCTAAAACAAGAAACAAGACCAAATTACATACTTACAAAATCTATGGGGAAAAAGATCGTGGTACGATTTTTACAACCAGATACTCACGCGCTTTATTCTGGAACAGCCCTCCAGCCCAACTCGCGAATTCGATGCGGGGGACATCTGGATAATTGAAAAAGGAGAAACTTGTTCAAAATAGTATCAACGACTAATCAAATATAGATTTTGGGAATTCTCAGAATAAGTAGTGATTACGTCGATCTGGGAAAGCCGCTTTTCGGATCCAATTTGTGGGATTATACAAGGTTGAAACCGGTGCAACACAAGTTTAGGGTGATGGAAACGAACGCCCCAAACGTCTCCAGACTACGAATCTGCAATCTGCATGAATTTTTATTTTTGTATTTTTTTGATTCTTTCATCATTTCCCGGGGTGCATGATCCGGATAAGCTCCGGATAAGCTCCGGATGATGTAATCCGATACTGCAGAATTGAACATCCCGTATCGAACAAATGAGAACCCGCCTGTTATTGCATGATAATACGCGACCCGATAATGACTGATGCGCCGACAAATCCTTGCAAAATATCCGCCTTATACACGAATTCGTATTTTGTGCGCTTCCAGTATATCGTCTTATTCCAATGTGCTTCTGAACGGACGTCTTGTGATCTGTCCATGAGATGATCTGCCAGTGAAACCGTGTATTGTAATCTTACATCAAGACGCTGAACTGCAACTATATGTTAGACCATGAGCCTATTCGCGCGCGTGGATTGGCTGATCAGAACGACACCAATTCTAGACGGCTCGAATTGACCCCGCAAACACTTCTTATCCAAACCCTTGCACACGCTACATAAATTGGATCTATTTCAACTTTTCATTAGTTTACATTAATTTATCATATGTAGAATTTGACTTAGCTCGCTAAATCGTTTAGTCAACCTCCTCAACAGTTGGGCCATCGTTAGATGGGGCAGCGCCACCGTCAGCGGCACCTGGGAATCCACCTGGGGCAGCACCACCTGGGGCAGCGCCAGCTTGGTAAGCCTTAGCCATGATTGGGTTGACGGTACCCTCCAACTCCTTTTGCTTGTCAGCGTACTCCTCGGTGGTGGCAGTCTGGTTGTCGTCCAACCAGGCAATAGCCTCATCGGCAGCCTTGGTGACGGTCTCGACATCAGCCTCCTCCAACTTGGACTTGAACTCCTCACCGCCCAAGGTGGTCTTCAAGGAGTAAGCGTAAGACTCCAAGCCGTTCTTGGCCTGGACTCTGGCAGCCTCCTTCTCGTCCTCATCCTTGAACTTCTCGGCCTCAGAGACCATTCTCTCGATGTCCTCCTTGGACAATCTGCCCTTGTCGTTGGTGATGGTGATCTGTTGAGTCTTACCAGTACCCTTCTCCAAAGCGGAAACGTTCAAGATACCGTTGGCGTCGACGTCGAAGGTGACCTCGATTTGTGGGACACCTCTTGGGGCTGGTGGAATACCAGACAACTCGAACTTACCCAACAAGTTGTTGTCCTTGGTCTTGGCTCTCTCACCCTCGAAGACTTGGATCAAGACACCTGGCTGGTTGTCAGCGTAGGTAGAGAAGGTCTCAGACTTCTTGGTTGGGATAGTGGAGTTTCTTGGGATCAACTTGGTCATGATACCACCAGCGGTCTCAATACCCATGGACAATGGGGCAACATCCAACAACAACAAGTCCTGGGTCTTGGAAGAAGTGTCACCAGACAAGATAGCGGCCTGGACAGCGGCACCGTAAGCAACAGCCTCATCAGGGTTGATGGACTTGTTTGGCTCCTTACCGTTGAAGAAGTCAGAGACCAACTTCTGGACCTTTGGAATTCTGGTGGAACCACCAACAAGGACAATCTCATCAACCTGGGACTTGTCGACCTTGGCGTCTCTCAAGACCTTCTCGACAGGGTCCAAGGTGGATCTGAACAAGTCCTGACACAACTCCTCGAATCTGGCTCTGGTGATGGAGGTGTAGAGGTCAATGCCCTCGAACAAAGAGTCAATCTCAATCGAGGTTTGAGCAGAAGAAGACAAGGTTCTCTTGGCACGCTCACAGGCGGTTCTCAATCTTCTCAAGGCTCTCTGGTTGGTGGAGAGGTCCTTCTTGTTCTTTCTCTTGAACTCGGCAATGAAGTGGTTGACCAATCTGTGGTCAAAGTCCTCACCACCCAAGTGAGTGTCACCAGCAGTGGACTTGACCTCGAAGATACCGTCCTCAATGGACAACAAGGAGACATCGAAAGTACCACCACCCAAGTCGAAGATCAAGACGTTCTTCTCCTCCTCGGTCTTCTTGTCCAAACCGTAGGCAATGGCAGCAGCGGTTGGCTCGTTGATGATTCTCTTGACGTTCAAGCCGGCAATCAAACCAGCATCCTTGGTGGCTTGTCTCTGGGAGTCGTTGAAGTAAGCTGGCACGGTGACGACGGCGTCGGTGACCTGGGTACCCAAGAAAGACTCGGCAGTGTCCTTCATCTTGGTCAAGATCATAGAGGAGATCTCCTCTGGGGTGAAGGTCTTGGTCTCACCCTTGAACTCGACCTGGATGATTGGCTTCTCGTCCTTGTTGACAACCTTGAAAGGGAAGTGCTTGATGTCGCCCTGCACATCGGCGTCGTCGAACTTTCTTCCGATAAGTCTCTTGGCGTCAAAGACAGTGTTGGCTGGGTTCATGGCAGCCTGGTTCTTGGCAGCATCTCCAATCAATCTCTCGGAGTCAGTGAAAGCAACAAAAGATGGGGTGGTTCTGTTACCTTGGTCGTTGGCAATAATCTCGACACGGTCGTTCGAGAAGTGGGCCACACAGGAGTAGGTAGTTCCTAAATCAATACCGACAGACTTAGACATGGTTTATGTGAAATGTATATGAATAATTTGTAAAGAAAAAAGCGAGGAGAAGTGGCCTACCTGGGTCCTGCCCGTTATATATGCGCCGGGGCCTTAATGTACTGGACGCACCAGAATATTCCACCGGATTCCACGAGAATCTTTTTTTCGCAACCACCGCCGGCCTAGTGCGGTCACGTGACCCGTCTCTTGAAGGCTTCCGCGCCATTCGACTGCTGACGTAATGCGCGCGTGAACAGCCTCGAACATTCGGGATAGGGACGGACGAGGAATGTGCTGGAAGAAATGGAACAAAACGGCGAAGAGGCAACATGGAAAGAAACGCACGGAGAAAGAAAGACGAAAAAGTTGAGATCTAGAAATCTAATATAAATAAAGCAAGATGCGAGGTTTGGGCTACTGCCACGCTGCAGCCGGGGAACAGGCTTGTCGACGCTAACTGAAGGGATTGGCCATATTCGGACCGCTCGGACCAGGGGTCTGCATACACTGTATACACTAAGAAAACAGTATTCACTACTGGATTTCTGAGGTAGCAAGTCAAATGTTCCCCGACAAGCGCAAATTTGATGCCTGCATCTAGTGCCTGTTCCTAGTATTTTGGTATGACGGATGGATCACAGTATTAAGCACTGAAAAATGAAGATCAAGTTGGTAGAAGATTGGGATTTGACACATGTCTATAGTGTAGACAGCGTTTGAAGCCGCGTGATTTTATCCAAAACAGGCTAATTGCCTTGCGAAATGATCCCGGCCTGCACATAGGCGTGTGCACGCAAGCTCTCAGTCGTCGTTGGTTTCCTGTCCATCTCAATTTCTTGAAAGAGAATCCTTTTGTTTAAGAAGCTGGCAAAAAAATGTAAGCCCGATGCGGGGCTCGAACCCGCAACCTTTTGATTGACCTTATTGAGATTAAGAGTCAAATGCTCTACCGATTGAGCTAACCAGGCTGGAACAAGCCCGATGCGGGGCTCGAACCCGCAACCTTTTGATTGACCTTATTGAGATTAAGAGTCAAATGCTCTACCGATTGAGCTAACCAGGCTGTTCTGTCCCTCAAAACACTCTGGTCCTTTCAGTCAGCTTAAGTAGAATTAATCTAACTTGTTACAAGGATTATTTTACATCCTGAAGCTTTTTCATAAGCAAATTAAACTGCCGCCTCGTTAATGAATAATACAGTTACAAATACTTAAGCCAAGACACTTTGTACGTAGCTGAGAGCTGTTCAAAGGTTCTTTATATATATTATTCATATAGTTCTGCCCCTGCAATCAGATGAATCTACCAAAAAAAGAACTGAAGGGATGTCAAGCCTCACAAGAGACCTATCTTAGGAGTCGATGACGTAATATCCAATACGTAAACAGATATGGGCCAAGAGGACCCCATCCATGCCGTGACTAACGGAAGGGGACGGGCAGAGTTTCGACACTTAGTACGTAGCTGGGAGCTGTTTAAACGTTTTTCATATATATTATTTATATAGTTTTGCTCCTTTAATCAAGTGAATCTACTAAAAAAATGAACCCAGCAGAAAACCCCTATGAATCTATCAAAAAAAAAGATATAGTTCAATGTTTCTTATAAATATACGGTAGGTTTATTCAATGGAGAAGGCGCATTGAGCATCAACATGGACTGTCTGTCAACTCAGATTAACGAGACCTCAGATTAACGAGTATCACGAGCTCTTGATCTTCGTGTTTCTGTCTCAGTACTGCCCAGACTCACACCACTCCCAAGACATAGTCTCCAGATATCCACCTGTTCACCATATCCAAAGAGTTTTCAGGCTGATCGTATGGCACCATGTGGCCGGCGTCGAATATGCGCAAAAAGGTTAAGTTCTCATAGTTCTTGGCCTCGCCTGCTGTCTTGTTTCCCACGGTCCATTCTCTCACGGGCAGACTCCGAAACTGGTCGTGGCCAGACCACGGCAATTCGTTGGACCAAGCCCGGTTACCCAACCAGTTGCAAATGAAATCCTGGTCGCCGGCATAGAGAAGCACCGGCAAGCCTGCCTCCAAAATCTCGATGACGCTGAGTTGAGAAGGCCTCAGCACGTCGCCCGTGTGCAAGAAGTTGTTCAAGATGTCGTTGTTGCACCCCTTGAACGAGTCAACCTCCACGCCCAACTTCTGGTGCACCTCGGGCAAGTTCAAGTATTCTCGGACATACTGCAACTCCCCGTAGCACAAAGCTTCACCGTCGCACATCTTCCGCATGTCGTACAAGTTCTTGCCGGTTCTTCTGTATGGGCCTAGCTCGGTGTTGTTGCAGTAGATACTGGCAGGCACACACGCAAACACCGAGCCTGAGTGGTAGCACGACTCAATCAAGGCCGTGCAGTGGGGAAGGTCCTCGGCCATAGTAGCACATTCTTCGGCAGACAACACCAGTGGCACGCCGCCTTCGCCACAGGCCATGGGCTGGTAATACTGGTTCTGGACCAAGGGATCAGTCATCCCGTTTCCAATCAAAACAGACTTGAGGTTGAACGAGCGCTCCGGATGGCGCAAGATCTCGGCCGCAAAAAGGGGAATATACCGGCCCGCGTACGACTCGCCCGCAATGTGGAAGTCGTTCTTGCGGAACGCCGCGAACTGCTTGAAGAACAATTCTAGGAACGCGTAGACATCTACGGCGGCCGCCGTGGTGGTGGACACGGACTGCAGCGAGTAGGAAAAGCCGACATTGACGGGCTGGTCCAAGAAAAGCACGGACGCGTTGTTGTTCCAGGCATAGGGATTGAATTCCGGCTGCAACTTGGCGTTGATCAGCGAGGGCCCCAACTCAAAAAACAAGCCGGTTAGAGACGAGCAGCCCGGCCCGCCGTTGAGCCATAGAATGACCGGGTCGTTCGCGGGGTCGTTTCTGGACTCGAAGAACCAGTAGAAGAAGTGCTTGTCCTCGTCCTCGATGTCCAAATAGCCGGTGTACTGCTTCACGGAGTCTATCCCCAAGTCGCCCGGCTCCGACTTCACCCGCAACTTGTGGTTGGGGAAACTGGCGTCCGATACATGGAAGTCAAACGAGGCCAGGTATGGATGGCTTGGTTTCGCCGTCGTCTTGAACGCCAACTGCGACACCTGCTGGGGGAACGCCAAGAAAACGTCTTGCCACAAGCCGACAACAGATTTCGGCACGTTCCGGCCGGGCTCGCTGAGATACAGGCCAAGCTTGGCGTAGACATCGCCCTTTTTCTCGTCCAAAGCGGCCATGATGTCCGCATACTGGGCCGACACGTGATCCCACTGATGGGCCAAGACCTGCTGTGTTTTGGCCACCCCTGCCCTCGGGCTGAAATCCGGAAGAAAAGCTGCGTTTGTGCCTGATACAGCACACGCCAAGGTGGTCAACGCCGCAACCTTCATTATGAGCCTTGAACGCTAGAATATATGAGGGTGCTGATCCGACAGTCAGAAACAGAGCCCAAGTTTCAATCACAGGCCCGGTCGAAAATACGCACGTCTTTACTTTGTGTTTGAATTATAACACTGAGAAAAAGAAGAAAGCATTGATTTGGAGATAAGAGATTAGACCTTGGGTATGCGCGCAGGTCTGGCGATGTTACTTCATCACGTGGAACAACGTGAATTTTGCAATCTGGTGCAGTGCCTTTGAAACTGCCTAATTGGGAAACAACAGCCAATGGAGCCTGGGCCTGATCAACAAATCGATTATTACAAATATGCCTACGCGAGCAAACAGGTCTAGACTTTATGGCTTTCTTCTCCTTGCCCTCGCCAGGGCATGAAGAGGCTATTGGAGTGTGGCTGTTGAGGATTATGCCGTGTTTTAAATTGATTTCTTGGCTGGTGAATTGCATGCTTGAAGGAGAAACAGCAATCGAAAAAGTACACCACCGCAGCCGCAATGATGTTATTTCCGTAAGATTGTGGCGCTAATAAATAGACCTGTGCAGCGCAAGACGATGTATCACGTCAAGTCCACAGGATTGGGCGAGCACGTGCCTGCAATGTCCAGCGCCACTTTCTTATCGGCATTTTAATTAAGTTAATTAAATGTTGTAATGCTCTATCTTTTAAAGTTGGAATACCTAATGGTCTTAATTTACCATTTGATTTAGGTATTCAAACTAACCGGCTACTAGTGAACTTTATACATTATTTATTTATATTTTTATTAATATTTATCAACTATAAATGATAATAGGACTTATATTATGTAATATAAATAAATTAAAGTTAAAAATTATTGTTAGAGGTATGCTCTAAACCATTACTGGCAATTGGATTAATCCTTAAATAACCTTATTAATGAGATAGGCTAAGCCGAATGAATCAGCCCGAAGGCTAAATGATCAAATAAATCATTAACTTAGGTCATAAATGGGCGTCTAATCTCTACACATTTACATAGTGATTTCTCGCATATGACTTAGCTCGAGATTGACCTCTTAAAATTAAAATTCTCTTAAGAGGTGTTTCCTCGAATTTGCCCATTATTTATTAATCCCCGGGTAGTCCTAGGTATCCCTAATATGTATATGTTGGTAAATACTCGAGATAAACCTAGGTATAAACTAACGTAACGGGGCATTAATCTTTCTTAAAATATGAAGAATTTAATCCGCGAAGCTGGAGGGGGATCACCCGCCTTCGGCGGGGCATCCTATTTCTAATATTTTTTTATGAAATTTATAATGCATAGAAGGTATTAAATAAGGAGATATACCTTTATATAATATAGGCATAGATCTACTTCTGATATATATAACATATTTATTTCTAGATTTATGAAGTGTACAATCTAAATCTCATTTTATTTTAAACACATTCATAAGTAAAATTAATTCTTTTACTGTATAACTTTGAAAATTTAAAATTAAACCACTACCTTTACTTAATGATCCATCTCCCATAATCATATGAGCTAAACTTTCATAGTTTATTAAATATTTTCAGGTATTATTTTAGTTCTACCTTGGTAAAAAGTATCTCTTAAAACACTAAAACATGGTAAAGCTCTAGTGTCAAATGTAACAGCGGTAAATAATTTACCTTTTAAAGATTCAACCTTTATTTTAGGTGCTGAAATACAATAATGAGCTAATTTATTATATGTATATAATATATATTCAATATGTTGTATAGATTGTTTAAATGAAAATCTAGAATTATAAGTAGTTTTTAATGAGGCTACCCTTATACCCGCCGCATTGCGGGCATTCACTTTTAATAAATCTTCTAGTTTTATTATTAAATGTAGTTTTTATATAACCATCACTTAAAATAATACCACTTAAAATATAATATATATCATCAGGTAAATTTATCATATAATTCACTATACTAGTAAATTTAGGTGCATTACTTTCTATATTAGTCCCATATAATACTAATTCTTTACATATATTATTTGATTTTAAATAAAATTTATTAGATCTAGGAAATATATCAAATATAGTATATTTATGTGTATTGTAATAATCCTTCATAATTGTAAACATTTTGATAAACTTATTTTATAAGCTCTTATTAAAAGGTTTTATATACAAATATTAACTCTAATAAAGTATATTTATTAAACTTTACTCCTGCAAAGCAAAAGTAAGATATATAGAAATAACACTCTCCTCATATTTTAAGAAAGATTATATTAATAATTTGTCGAACAACTTATAAAAAAAATCTTGCTAAAGGATTTTATACTTATTCAACTAAATAAAGTAGAATAAATCATAATATTACAACACACATTTGTCTGTTCTAGTAATATAAGATCTAAGCTCTCTCCGAACCCAGCGAGATAGTTACCCATCACTAGGCTCTCCAACCCTACGTGGTTTCATAGGTGAGTTTTTATAATATCCACCGTGTGTACTTAAATTACATTTACTACATAGTGCTATTTGTGGGGTCTCAATAGATTTAATAATGTCTTTTAGTCTATTATTGGACTTAGGTAAATACTTAATAGCTTTGATATGATGCATTTGAACATTTAATTGAGAATTGCAAATATCACATGATGCACCTTGATGTCATAGTGATTTTGCCTTCAATGTAAACTTATAAGAGGATTTATTATCATTAAGATACTTAATTAAAGCATTAATATCATTAGTCTCTAATGCTTTGATATATTCAGGTTTTCATGTCTTAAGTATTTTAGTTTGTTGAGCTTTAGGTATTTTTTGATACCTGTCAAAAAGAATACCGTTAATTTTAACATTATCTTTATCTACGACTCCTACTGGTACTTTAGGTGTTCTATTACCTATTTTCCTTGATAAGTCATTCCTACCAGCTTTGAAAACACTAGCAACAGTACCTAGCTTAAATTTAGCAGCATATACTTTAGCTAAAGAGTATCTAAGTATATAAGCAACTCTTGCAGTAAATTGTTTTCTATCACTGGCTACAACTCATCAGTTAGAGAGACCACGTAGTATCATGTTAATTTTACTGTTACTTTCCGATTGAGGATATCTTAAATATCTAAAGTTAGGTATAGGTTCTCCCATACCATTACAAAAACCAGCCTCTTTAAGTTGGCTGATAACCTTGATTTTATCAATGTAAAGAGTTGGAATAGTAATTCTCCTATTTATAAGTTTACCTGCAAATAGTTGTTTAATAACATAGGTATTTCTACCTATAATATGTCCTAAGAAAGATATTCCTTTACTAATGTGAGTGATATGAGTTTTCTCTTCACTTAATGTTAATTTTAATTCATCATTTAAAAATGTTTTAATAAGTTCCTTAACTTCTATAGCAAGCTTTCTAGGACCATTAATACCGATAAGAAAATAATCAGCATATCTAACGTATTTAACAGTTCTATACTCAGCTTGAAAAGGATACCTTGAAGGTAATCTACGTCTGTATACCTCACTTTTCAATCCTGCTCTAAGTAATCTTAGAGTTTCAGGATTTTTCTGACGATTTGTGGGTAATACGGATCCTTTATATTTAGCAGTTATAATATTCATATATTTATCAAGTAAATCTAAATAGATATTTGATAATAGAGGACTTAGTATTCCACCTTGCGGTGTACCAACTTCAGGTGTAAACACACCTTTATCGGTATAGATTTTTGCTGCTTTTAGACCTGCTCTGATAAGGTTTAAAATTATAGGATCTTGAATTCTTTTTTCTATTATTTTCATTAAGATTTTATGATCTATATTATCAAAATAACCTTTTATATCACCTTCAATATATCAAGTAGAATCCTTAAGATTAGTATTTATATATTTTAAAGCTGTATGACAACTACGATTAGGTCTAAATCCAAAAGATCTATCAGAGAAATTTAATTCGAAAATAGGCTCAATAATTGTCTTAATAACTTCTTGAACTAATCTATCATTCATAGCTGGTATACCTAATGGTCTATATTTACCCGGTTTACCAACGTTAGGTATCATAACTTGTCTTACACCACCCCAGGTGTAATTGTTACTTAGTACACACTCTTTTAATTCTAGAATTCTATTTCTAGTAAGTGTGTTTATCCCTAGGTTATCGGTACCGATGGTTTTTGATCCTCTATTTGCCTTTATATTAAGATAGGCGGCAAATCAAATAGCATCTAGCTTTAAGTAACCTTTCAGGTCCTTATAATAACGGTTTTTATTTTCATAATTACTCTTTAAATGTTTAGCTAATATTTCAAAATCCTTAGAATGTTCTTCTTGTAATTCTACAATTACAGAGTCCGATTTATTGCTTCTCGTAGAGTATGACCTAATACCTTTAAAAGGTACCAGATATTTAGCCCCCTTCGCTTTAAATGAATAGTTAAATTCATTTATCACTACTACGGGGCCTCTGCCATCTCCTTTATTAATGGAGACTTCACCGGTAGCACACACGACGTTTAATATTATTATTAATAATATAACTCTATATAAGGATATCCTTTTGGTGTATGTCCTTAATGCGATAAGTAATGTACTAACTTGCTTAATTGAGTCACTACATTCGTAAATATTCACCGAAGTAGAGTTAGTATAATCTTGTAATTGTGAGTATCAAGATAAGGATGTATTTATCCCAAAACATCTTGGATTTCAGTAGTTCAACTTATTCCTTATATAGAAACTAGCATTGAAGTATATCTTAGTCCAGTTTACACTGCTCACATATGACCTCATTACTCTTTTTAGTACAGGCTGTTGTCCCCTTCCTCTCACGATTTTAGGGTAAGTACTATTGCTTTCTATCGACTCAACGTGATAGTTTGTTACGAATAACAACAATTCCGTGTGCACTCGAACGGTCGCCCATATTTTAATACCTGTTGGTACGGCTATAACCATTGTAGCGGATGTGAAACAAGCCCTATAATATATATCCGAACATGATGACTGCATGCTATAAACTGATGGTCCGATAGATCCCATAGCATATAACATACCTATTTCACCGAAGATAGGTTTTTACTATATGCTGATACGGTATGTGATATTAAACCAAAACCTGGTATGGATACTTTTAATTCAAAGGGACTATATCTTTAGACATCTTCATAGTATCTAAATGAGTTTAAAAAATTATTTCAACCAAGATCAATAAAGTATTAGTTTCAACTGTATAAGCTTTCATATCTTTTGAATAATAGTACTAATGTATTGGGTGAATTCTATTATTTTTTAATGTTCTTAATGGATTATTTTTATATGATGACCAATTCTAATATATATTTCCTACTAGGAACTGATCATTTAAAGGATTTATATATACCATCATCTAAATGAACATTTTGTAAGGTCCCTGGTATCAGCTTGACACTGATGGTCCTTGTAAGCGCATATATGGCTATATGCACCTCCATTACCCTGAGTTCAGATATAGACAACTCATCGAATATTCTCACGAGTTCTAAAGGTTCCGTTCACGTGGCCTTTGGATAAAGTATATAAAGGTGGAATAGAACTACTGTAGAGTTCTAGAGAAACCAGTGATCAAATAGTAATACATAACCCCTGTGTCCCGTGAAGTCCCTAACAGTTTCAACTTTATAAGCTTTCATTTTCTTTCATATTCTTTAAATAGTAATACGGATGAAATGGGTGAATTCTTATATGTTTAATGTTCTTAGAGGATTGGTTTTAAATAATGACCAACTCTAATATGTCTTTCCTCCCAGGAACCTATCATTTGTAGGATTTATATATACCATCCCCCAAATAAAATTCACATTAAATAGTCTTAGTATTACGTAATTCTGGACTTTTTTGAGTAACAGAAGGAGCTAATTATTAGTAGTATCATTAATGTTATAGTAACATAGCATCAAAAAGACCAGATAATCAAGCATTATCCTTTGGTAATGGATTAGGTTGTACAATTATATTATACATGGTACATAATTTAGTTCAGTGCATTGATCTTATAGGGTTTCCAATTCTCCATCAACAATCTTAGTCAATGTGGTTGAACCTGTTTTATTTTGACATCTGTATGTTCTAGATTGTCTTCCTCTTCCTCTCTTCTTCCTCTCTTCTTCCTCTCTTCTTCCAGTAAATTAGCTGCACGACAGAGATGCGCACCCGGTGAGGTCCCTCTCTTTGCCTCTTTTCTTCCTACCGGTCTTTTCACATACGTTTCGACTTATCTTCCCATTTTCT